TCAATTATCTTGATAAACAACAAAATTCTCCGCATAAAATCAATTATTTTAAGAAATTTTAATAATATTCTTTTCCAAAACTCTCTAATTTGTGTAAAATTGAAACAGTGTGAACGCACCCAAAAGGAAAAATTCCAATTTTCGCTTTTCTCGTTAAAAATGGAAACGTAATTTACAGGAAAAATAACCAATTTTCCTTAGTATCTTAGTCTCTCTATATTAATTTACATAATCTATGTACAATTACTATTTTTTTTTTTGCAATTTATGAAGTTTTTCACACGTTTATTCTGTTTATTTATCATCCGATGACAGAAACAAAAAGAAACTGTTTTTATATTTTCCAAAGGAATCGAATAATTTTAAAAATATTTTAATTATAATAGAAATGGAAAAAATGTCTGTGAACAATAGAGAGCAAGGTAAGGGAATTCAATTCTTACAATTTAATTCAAATATTTGTCATTTTTTAAATTTTGAGGTTAGGATTCAATTCAAATTTTAATAATTAAATAAATTTAATTAATAAATTAAATGATTTAATATTTAATTATTTCATTTTTTAATTATTATGTTATTATTACTATTTTCAAATTATTTCCTTTTTTTTATTTTAAGTTTAAATTAAAAATACTGAATTTATTAAAAAATTTCAAAAATTATTTATTATTTTTAATTTTTTTATTAGAAGAATAAAATAAATAAATTTAAATTTCAGTTATTTAATTTCTAAAATTTCTATCTTGTGCAAAAATTTAATTATTATAAACAGATAAATAATTGTCAAATTATTACTTTTTATCTCAATTTTAACTTTTTAGCAATTTTTCAATTAAAAATTTTTATTTTAATGAATAAATAAATAATAATTGTCAATTATCATCTGTTTGCTCAATTTTATTATCTTTTTATTATATTTTTTATTTAAAATTTTAATAAAAGTAAATAAATAATATTGTCAATTATTTCCGTTTTTTCATAATTTTAACTTTTTTCCCTTTTTTAAATTTAATTAACATTTTAATAAAAAAATATTGAAATTAATTTTTCAATTTCTAATTAAAAAATATTGAAATCAATTTTAAAATTTTTAGTTATAAAATATTGGAATTATTTACAAAATTTTTAAATATTAAAACTAATTTAAAATTATTTTAATAAACAAAAATATTCAAATTATTTTAAGAGTATAATGGAAAATATTTAAATTATTTTAGGATTCAAAAACTATATTTACTATTTTACAAAGACAAAGAACTTTATTTAATTTAAATTAAAATAAAAAATTTAAAAAAAAAATTTTCGAATAATAATTTTATTTTTAAAAAATTTCTCCTTTTCTTTTGCAATAATTTTCCTATTATCTCAAATTTTCAGCCTCGAATTCTCATCGTCGTCAGGAGGAAAGAAATTATTACGCCGAGGATTTAATCGACGAACTGAAATTATTCGAAGTCAAGGAAATAAAAACTGGAGTAATTAATTGCAATAATTCTCTCATCACAATTGACAATCAAGAGATTGATCTTCAAAATATTAATTTCGAAAAAATTCTTAAACTAAATTTCGACGACGATAATAATAATGACGATGATGATGATAATGATGATAAAAATTATTCCCCAGAAAAGAAAGCAGAGGTGGAAAAAAAATGGACAAAAATTTCCAAAGATCTAAAAAATGTCAACAGTCATTTTCTCAGTTTTCTCGGTCATTCAATAACGTCGAAGCAATTGGGCAACAATTATCAATCGATTCCTCAAAAATTAATTATTTTTGGCGACAAAAATTTTTCTTTCGCAGAAAAATTGCCTCGTGACGAGAAAAAGGCCGAAAAAGAAGAAAATAATTTTTTTTTTCGTTCCAAAGAAAAATTAACTCGAGACGAAAAAAAGGAGAAAATATTCGAATTTGGTGAAAATAATTTTTCTTTTCGCTCGGGAGAAGAAACGAAACAAAAAAACGAGAAGGAAGAAGAAATAAATAAATTTCTTCATTTTGGAAATAATTTTTCTTTTCCTTCGGGAGAAAAATTGCCTCGTGACGAGGAAATGGACGAAAAAAAGCAGAAACCAATTATTTTTGGTGGAAATAATTTTTCTTTTCGTTCCGTAGAAAAATTGACTCGAGACGAAACGAAAGTGGAAAAAGAAGAGAAAAAGGGACGAAAAGAAGCGAAAAAAGAAGAAGAAAAAATACAAAAAGAAGAAAAAATGGAACAAGAAAAAATACAAAACGAAGAAAAAACAGAAAAAGGAAAAATAGAAGAAGAAGAAGAAAAAATACAAAAAGGAGAAAAAATAGAAGAAGAAAAAATGGAACAAGAAGAAAAAATAGAAGAAGAAAAAATACAAAACGAAGAAAAAACAGAAAAAGGAAAAATAGAAGAAGAAGAAGAAAAAATACAAAAAGGAGAAAAAATAGAAGAAGAAAAAATGGAACAAGAAGAAAAAATAGAAGAAGAAAAAATACAAAACGAAGAAAAAACAGAAAAAGGAAAAATAGAAGAAGAAAAAATACAAAAAGGAGAAAAAATAGAAGAAGAAAAAATGGAACAAGAAGAAAAAATACAAAAAGGAGAAAAAATAGAAGAAGAAAAAATAAAAAAAGAAGAAGAAGATTCGACGAAATTCCTAATCGTCACTTGCCCTACAGAATGCGTCGGCGGTGAAATAAAATTCCCCAAATTAAAAAAAATCTTCAAACCAAATTCAATCCCCAACAAATCCCTCACCTACCTTCTCTTCGACACCAAAAAAACCTACCAAATCACCAAAATAACCAGCGGCTCACGAATCCTAATTCTCTACAAAATCACCCCCTCAAAAATCACCTTCGATTCGAAAGAATCCCAAATTTCCACAGACACAAGAAAATTGAAAGCAATATTAAAAAACATAACCGAACCAAATGTCCTCATTCCAATAACGAAAAAAAATTCCCTCAAGAAAATATGCGACAATTTAAAATTGAATTATCGACAAGTTTACTCGGCGAAGGAGACGCCAAAAATTGTCTACGGCGAACTCGATAGAAATGAAATGGAATTCTATTATAAAGGTTGGGAGGAGTGTGAAGTGGATTTTTACAGTTTAATTCGCACATCGACTCGTTATCAAATTGGTAAAATTATCAATTACTCGAGACCGGAAATAATAAATGATATTTTGGTGAGATATCGGAAATATGGCACCGGGCCGGAGGAATCAAATTATGAGGTTGATTATTATTCGTTTTTGTTGATTAATCCTTTGGCAATGGAGAATTGTGATTCTGATCCTTCGGAGCCGGATCCATCGGAATCGGATTTCACGGAAAGTGAAGAATCGGAACCGGAAGAGGAAATTGAAAACGAGATGGATCAGTAGAATAAAAAATTTGACAGTACCAGTTGAGGAAAACTTTCAACTGGAAAATTTCTTTTCTTAAATTAATTTTTTGTGACGAAACTTCATTTTCAAATAATTGAGACAAAAAAAAATTGAAAATAACTTTTTATGTTATTATTTTTATTGTAAATTTTTTTCTAGTTTGTAAATTTTATTCTAGTATGTAAATTACTTTTTTTATTATTAATTATTGAATTATTATTATAATGATAATAAACTGTTTTGTCTTTAAAAAATCACAAGGATTAATAAAAATGTATTTTTCTGAACAAAAATACTTTATGTTTAATTTCCATTAATTAAAATCGAATTAATTTATTTTGTTTAGAATTTTGTTCAGAATTTTTTTTAATTATTTAGAAATTTGCTCAAATTTTTTTTTTTTGTTTAGAATTTTATTTGGAATTTTGTTCAGAATTTCATTTAAAAATTAAAAGACTTTATACAGAATTCTTTTTTAATTATTTAGAAATTTTTCAGAATTTCGTTTAAAATTTCAGAATTTCTTTTAATTATTAAGAAATCTGTTCAGAATTTTAATTGAAATTGCGTTTAAACTTCAGAATTTTTTTTTAATTATTAAGAATTTTGTTCAGAATTTTATTTGTAATTTTGTTTGAAATTTTCTTTTAATTTATTTAGAACTATTGTTTATAATTTTGTTTGGAATTCTGTTTATAATTTTGTTTGGAATTCTGTTTATAATTTTGTTTAGATTTTTGTTCAGAATTTTATTTGAAATTTTGTTTAAAATTTTGTTCAGAATTTTGTTTAGAAATTCAGAATTTTTTTTATTATGTTTAGAAATTGGTTCAGAATTTTATATTGAATTTCATTTAGAATTTCAGAATTTTTTTTTGTTTAGAATTTTAATTGGAATTTCGTTTAGAATTTTTTTTATTTTATTTAGAATTCTATTCAGATTTTTTTTAATTATTCAGAAATTTCGTTTAGAATTTCGGAATCTTTTTTATAAATTTATTTGAATAATTTGTTTTAATTATTATAATAAAAAAAATTTTTTTCTAAATTTTCTTTTAATTTATTTAGAATTTTTTTTTAATATTATTTAGAAATTTGTTCAAAAATTTTGTTCGAAATTCATTTTTATTTTGTTTAGAATTTTTTCAGAATTTTATTTGGAATTTTGTTTAGAATTTTGTTTAGACATTTGTTCAAAATTTATTTTTAATTATTTTTAAATTTTTTCAGAATTTTTTTTATTTTTTTTAGACTTGCTCAGAATTTTGTTTGGTATTTTGTTTATAATTTGATTTAGACTTTTGTTGAGAATTTTATTTGAAATTTTGTTTAGAATTTTGTTCAGAATTTTATTTGGCGTTATGTTCAAAATTCTGTTTGGATTCTTATTTGTACAATTTTAATTCTATAAAAAATTTTTTTTAAATTATTAACAAAAAAATGCTCATTATTTTTAAAAATCAAATTAAAAATTACTTTTTTCTACATTAATAATATTAACAAGAAAGAACAAAGTAAAAAAACAAAAAATAAAAATAATTCAATTACACAAGTAAGGAAAATTTCTTTTCTACAATACGAAGGTAAATATTTGGAAAAATCACCGCATAATTAGGATGGCACTACAAATGACTGGAAAATCCTTTTAATTAAAATTCTCATCTACATGGAATTCTCACTTTATGGAAAAATCGAAACATTTATCAACACGTTTTTGGGGAAAAAAAGTTTTTCTAAAATATTTATTATTAACAAATAAATAATGTCTACAATCAAAAGAAAAGGTGAGTAAATAAAATATTCACTAAATCAAATTAATATAATTTTTTTTTATCTTTTTTTCATTAATTTTTCGATTTTTCAGTTAATTTACAATTCGACAAATTTAGTTAATAAACGAATTTGAGGTTAAAATTTCAACAATAAAATTTTCAATTTGCCAGTTTTCATTAATTTTTCTTTCACTTCTAAAATTTTCTTTTCATTTATTTATTATAATTTGAATTTAATTGTTTATTACTTTTAATTATTTATAATTTCAATTTAATTAGTTAATATTTATATTTCATTTTCTATTTGGTAATTCAATTATTCTGGAATTAATTTCAATTATTTGTCATATTAATTCAATTATTTTTTTTTCATTTTTTTTCAATTATAATTCATTTTTTAACGAATTTTCATGAAAAATTCCAGAGAATTATTGAATTTTTGATTGAAAATTCTATTTCTAAATTTAATTAAAATAGTAAATATTGAAAATAATTGAATTTCGAAAATTGTTTCAAAATAATTGAATCGTTTTTAAGAATTTTATTAAAATTCATTCAAATATAATTGATTTTTTTTTCAAAATTCTATGAAAATTGTATAAGAATTATATTTTAAATAATTAAATCGTTTCCAAGAATTTTATTAAAATTCTTTTAAAATAATTGCTTTTTTCGAAAAAATGTGACGAAAATTGTATTCTAAATAATTGAATTCCTGTAAAAATTTTATTATTCATGAAAATAATTTAATTCTTTTGGAAAATTTTATTAAAATAGTAGATATTGAAAAAAATTGAATTTCGAAAATTGTTTGAAAATAATTAAATCGATTTTAAGAATTTTTAAAAAATTTTTTTTAAATATATTTTTTTCGAAAAAATTTGATGAAAATTGAATCAAAATTTTATTTTTATTAATTGAATTCTATTGGCAAATATTCTTAAATTAATAGGAAATGAAAAAATATTTAATATTTATTAAATATTTTATTTATTTAAATATTTATTTATTTAATATTTTTATTTCGAAAATCTTTTGAATATAATTGTATCGTTTCTAAGATTTTATTAAAATTCTTTAAAATAATTGAATTTTTTCGAAAAAATGTAATAAAAATTTGTAGAAATTGAAAAAATAATTGAATTTCGAACATTTTTTGAAAATAATTGAATCGTTTCCAAGAATTTTATTAAAATTCTTTAAAATATTTTTTTTTTTAAATGTAATAAAAATTTGTAGAAATTGAAAAAATTAATGGAATTTCGAAAATTTTTTGAAAAGAATTGTATCGTTTCTAAGATTTTATTAAAATTCTTTAAAATAATTGATTTTTTTCGAAAAAATGTAATAAAAATTTGTAGAAATTGAAAAAATAATTGAATTTCGAAAATTTTTTTGAAAAGAATTGAATCGTTTCTAAGATTTTATTAAAATTCTTTTAAATAATTGATTTTTTCGGAAACTTTTAACGAAAATTATATTCTAAATAATTGAATTCTTGTTAAAAATTTATTATTTATGAAAATAATTGAATTCTTTTTGGTAATTTAATTAAAATATTAGATATTGAAAATAATTTGAATTTCGAAAATTTTATGAAAATAATTGAATCGTTTCTAAGAATTTTATTAAAATTTTTGAATATATTTTTTTTATTTCAATCATCAGAGAATTTAAAGTAGTGCAAATTCTCTCAAAAGAATTCAAAAGAATTCTTTTAAATTCTCTCATAAGAAAAAGAAAAAAGCATCTTTCAGTGTCACAAATCTAAAAAAAAAGTAGAAAATAGTAAAATTTAAAATAATAAATAATTTGAATTTTCCCAGAATTTTTCCCGAAACAATTGTCAATTTACGAAACAATAAATAATTTAAATAATAAAATTTAATCTTTTTTTTCCCTTTCCAGCAACAAATAACGAGGCATCCGAGCAGAAACGATTGAAATTTTCCACCGATGAGTTAATAGAAGAATTGAAAACCCTGGAAAATGATGAAATAAAAACAGGAATTATCAACTGCAATCAAAAAGCGATCATCAATGTTAATAATCAAAAAATTGATCTTCAAAACATCGATAAAAATTTCCCTCAAAAATTATTCCACAAAAACGAATCAAGAGCAACAAATTCAAAAATAATCCAACTAAAAATTGAAACCATCAACAATAATTTACTAAATTACCTCGGACAATCGATAACAAACGAGAAACTTGGTAGCAAATACCAAGCAATTGCAAAAAAATTAATCATCTATCGAGAAAATGATTTTCGTCCACCGTCCAATGACGATTTAATTCCAGCAACATCCGAAGAATCCAAAGAAAAATATCAACTAATCATCATTTGTCCCACAAATTGTCAAGGCGGTAATATTTATTTTCCCGAATTAAAAAAGAAATTCATTCCCACAAATGATAAAATGAATTACATTCTATTTGAAAAACAACGAAAATACAAATTATCGAAGGTGAAGAAAAATTCACGTTTCACAATTATTTACAAAATAATTGAAAATTCCCTCGACATTCAATTGAATGATAAACTTTTATTCAACGAGACGGAAAATTTGCAAATCATTCTCAAGAATATTCGGGAGAAAAATGTTTTAATTTCCCTAAATGACGATGGGAATTTTTTGCAGAAAATTTGCGACGATTTTGCTATTAATTACAAGGAAGTTTATTCCGACGAGGAATGTCCGAATAAAGTTTATGATCAACTCGAGGACAATGAGTATGAATATTATTATCTTGGTTGGCACAATTCGGATGTGGATTTTGGTAATTTCGTCGAAAATCAAATTCCGTATGATGTGGGGAAATTTTTGCAAATTACGAGGCCGAGGAAAATTTTTAAACCAGTTGTGAGATATTATAATCCTGCTATTGGACCAAAGGAAACATTCTACGATGTTGATTACTATCGATTTTTATTGATCAATCCAAGCAGGAGTATTAGCATTGAAATTGAAAATTATCAGGAGAGTCAATCGGACGAGGAGGAATTGGACGATGAAGTTTGGAGGATCAATAAATATTTCTCGACAATTCCATTTTAAAATTCGAGAAACGAAAACGAAAAAGAAAAACAAAAACAAAAACAAAAACGACTCAACAATTACGATTCTTTTTTTTTTTTTGTTTTTTTTTACTAAACAAAAATTCGGTAAATTTTTTGCAAAAAATAATGTTAATTGTATTTTTTAAATTCTTCTCAAGGAAAATTTTTTTACATTGTCACGACTTTTGGAAATTTAACTTAAAATTTTTACACTGAAAAATATTTATTTGATTCAAATCACCGATCAGTTGTCTATTGTCAAATAAATATTTACCTGAATCGAATAATTTTTATTTTTAATCAAGAATTTTGAATTTCTTGTCTAGTGTCAAATAAATTAATTCTTGAATAAAATAAAATTCATTTCGAATGAAATAAATTTCTTGTCTACTGGCAAATAAATATTTAGTTGAATCGAACAATTTTTATTTTGAATCAAATTAATTTCTTTTCGAAATTTTATTTATTTTGATTTATTTCGATTCGAAATGAAACTTATTTGATTCAAATGAATATTTATTTCGAATCAAATAAATTTCTTGTTTATAGTCAAATAAATTATTATTTGAATCAAATAATTTTTATTTAAATCAAATAATTTTTATTTGAATTAAATAATTTTTATTTGAATCAAATAATTTTTATTTTGAAACAAGAAAATTTCTTGTCCGTTGTCAAATAAATATTTACTTGAATAATCTTTATCTTGAATCAAAAAAAATTTCTTGCCAAATTGGTAATTTATTTAATTCGAAATAAAACTTATTTGTCTCAAATAGTTTATTATTTTGAATCAAATGAATTTCTTGTCTGTTGGCAAATAAATATTTACTGCAATCAAGAAATTTTTGTTTAAGTCAAATATTTCCAATAATTATTTGAAGCAAATATAAAAATTATTTAATTCAAATCGCTTATTTATGGGAACAAATAATTTTTTTTTCAGTGTATAATAAAATTTTACATAAAATTGACACTATTTTACAATCTATCAACAAATTGTTACATTATTATTTTCGTTTACTCATAACTAATTAAAATATTAAAGTGTTTAAAGAAATTTATTTTCTTTTCTTGGCAAAAAAATATTGTACAAAATTTTTTTTTAATCATCGACTAAAATTTAATAAAAAGATGTTTTTATTAACAAATTTTCGTTGTGTAATTGTTTTATTGTTTTAATTAAATTCCTCGAAAAAATTAAATTATTTTCGAAAATTTTAATTAAATTATGTAAAATTATGTAAAATTGTACATAAAAAATAATTGAAACTATAATTGACTCTGCTATAAATATTGTTATTTATAAAAGTAATTTAATTCTTGCAACGAATTTTATTAACAAATTTTTAAAGAATTGAATTCCTGTGAAGAATTTTATTTGGGAAAATAATTGAATTCCGGAGAGAAATATTATTATTTATGATATTAATTAATTTCTTGTGAAGAATTTTATTTAAATTTTTTAAACAATTGTATTTCTCAGAATGTTTTATAATATTTTGAAAATAATTAAATTCCATCGACAAAATTTCATTAAAAAATTGAAAATAATTGAAATCTGACGAAGTATTTTATTAAATTTTTTTTAAATAATTGAATTCTTGTGAAAAGTTTTATTTTTGAAAAAAATTTGAATTATTAGGAAGAATTTAATTAAAAGTTCTTAAATAATTGAATTGCTTCGAAGAATTTTATTTTTTAAGAAAATAATTTAATTGTTTCGAAGATTTTTACAAACTTGACAGTAAAATTGTAATTCCTATAAGGAATGTTATATTTTACGAAAATAATTGTAGTCTATAGTCAATTTTATTATAATTTTTCAAATTTATAAAGCATTTTATCAAAATTTTTTGAAATAATTGAATTCTCGAGAAAAATGTTATTATTTATGAAAATAATTGATTTCTTACGAAGAATTTTATTCAAATTTTTTTCAAATAATTGAATTCCCATAAAAAAAAGTATTATTTGTGAAAATAATTGAATTCTTAAGAAGAATTGTATTGAAAATAATTGAATTGAATAGGAAAATTTTATTAAAATTGCAATTTTATTAACTAAATTTTGTAAAGAATTTTGTCGAAATTTTTTTAAATAATAGAATTTTTAAAAGAATTTTATTTAAATTTTGCGAAATAATTGAATTTCTCAGAACTATTTTTTTCTATTCTTTGAATATATTTGAATTCTTTCGATAAACTTCATTAAAAAATTAAAAATAAATGAATTGGTGCGAAGAAATTTATAAAAAAAAATTGGAAAGTAATTGAATTCCTGTGAAATTTTTATTAAAATTTCGTTTAAATAATTGAATTCTTTTAAAAAATTTTATTAAAATATTAGATATTAAAAATAATTGAAATGAGGAAAATTTTTGAAAATAATTAAAATTTTGCCAAGAATTTTATTAAATTTTTTGAAAATAATTGAATTTCGGAGAAGAATTGTATTATTTATAAAAATAATTGAAATTTTGACGAGAATGTTTATAAATTTTTGAAAATAATTGAAATTTTGCCAAGAGTTTTATTAAATTTTTTGAAAATAATTGAATTTCGGAGAAGAATTAAAATTTCTATTTAAATTGATTAAAAATTGAAATGTAAAAAAAAAATTTTTAATGTAAAAAAAAATTTTTTAAAAAAAAATTTTTTTTTTTAAATTTTTTAATGTAAAAAATTTTTTTTTTGTAAAATTGTATTGAAATAACGACTTGTTTCATTAAAATTCAGTCAGTAAACAAAATTTTATTAAAAATTAGTAAAAGAAATTAAATGTCTAAAAAATTATCTACCTATACGAAATTAAAATTTTGAAAACAATTGAATTTTGCAACTATTTTAGTAGATTTTGCTTTAAATAATTGAATATTTTATAAAATTATGTTTGCAAAATATTTCAAGTATTTTAAATAAGTTAAATTGAAAAATTAAATCAGAATTTCAATTGAAATAAATTGTCAAAAATAATTGAATTTTAGGAGAATTTTTATTAAAAATATTGAAAATAATTGAATTTTTTGGAAATTATTCATTAAAAATCCAGAAAAAAATTATCAAAATCATTTGTAATTTATTTTATTTGTATTTTCATGTTCAAAAATTTATTTTTTGCTTTAGTTAAAAGAAGACAAAAAATAATATAAAATATAGTAAAATTTTAAAAATAGTAAAATTTGTCTTTTTTCGAAAATATGAAAATTACCTTTTACTACGTTTTTAATCGTTTGCTCTACTATCGTATTAACCTTTGTATATATGAATGAATTGATATCACATGAATTCAAATGCAAAATGATTCACAATTTGTTATTGCGATTAATGAAAATTATTAATGTGTTTATTTTCTTTAGAAAAATGATATTATTTACATTTTTTGCGTTTCTAGAATATATATCTATATGTACAGTGAACTCGTTTCTTTTTATAACCTTGTTATTATTATTAATGCTAAAAGTCGGGCATTTCAACCATGAAATATGTTCCTCTTTATATTTTTTTTTTTTTTTTTTTTTTTTGATAAAAGTATATCCGATAGTTTTTATTCTCTGTCTTATTCTTCTTTTTATTCATTAATTTTTTTAGCTTTTTAAATTGATTTTCATTTATTTTCTTCATACTAATAATAATAATACTTTCTGTAAACATACACTCCCTATATATTTGCGTCCCTTTCATTATTCAGAGTAGCAGAACTTGTTCGCCTTTCTTCAAATAAACAATATAATTTATCAGTGCATTCATAAGAATACCGAAAGGTAATTAATTAATTAATTAATTATTATTTGCGTAAATATATTCGTTCGCTTTTTCTCTCAATATTTTTTCAACTCTTTCTTTTTTTTATTTTCGTTTTACTTTCAATTTAATTAATTTATGTCGTTGGGAAACTGCTGACAATATAATAATTGCCATTACTACTAATTAATTTGTAAAAGAGATTCAATTAATTATCAATAAAAATAAAAAATAATAAATTACAATATTATTTCTCTAAAAAAAAAAGAAAAAAGTGAAAATGAAAATAACTAATCTGAAAAATTATTAAAATTTTTAAAATACAACAATAATAATAATACAATAGTGATTAGAATTTAATTGTTAGTGTTTGATCATTTTAATCATTTTTTATTTCAATTTTTTGTATATTTTTTTAAAAGTCAAAACAAAATTTAATTTTCAACCTAATTTTATTATTAATGTTTAATTATTTCAATTTTTGAATTCAATTATTTTTTGTAAATTTTTTAGAAATATAAAAACAAACTTCAATTTTTAACTCTATTCATATTTAGAGAACGAATTTTGTACTTACAACTGTTTTTTTTTAATTTTGAAAACTTTCATTCTTGTTTTAAAAAATATTATAATTTTTGTATATTTTATAACTTTAAACATGAAATACTTTAATTCTTTCGTAGAATATTATTAACATTTTATTTAAAAATAATTGAATTGCTATTAAAACAAAAAATACTTCAAAATACATAACTGAATTGTTTCAAAGAATTTTAATAAATTTTTCTTTTTTTAAATAATTGCATTCCTTGAAAATAATTGAAATTATTTGAAAATTTTATTATTTATAAAATAATAATTCGAAGAATTTAATTTGAAAATTTTTTAAATAATTCAATTCTTTTCGATTAATTTAGGTAAAATTTTGAATTTAAATTAATTGAATTCTTATTAAACATTTCTTTTTTAATTTTTCTAAATAATTAAAACCTGGATAAAAAATTCCATGAGAACTTATAAAAATAATTGAATTCTTTCCAAAAATTCTACTAAACTTTTTGAAAATAATTGAATTCATTCATGAAATTTAATTAGAATTGTTTAGAAAATAATTGAATTTCTTTTTTGAAATTTTATTTAAAATTCTTCAAAATAATTCAATTCTTTCGTAAAATTAAAATTGTATTTAAAAATAATAATTAAACTAAAAGCCTACAAGAAATTTATGATTTTTGAAAATAATTAAATTCTTGACAAGAATTTTGTTAAATTTTTTAAAAATAATTGAATTGCTTAGAAGATTTTGAAAAAAATTTTCAAAAATACAAAAATTGAATTGTTTCAAAGAGTTTTAGTTCAAATTTGAATTTTTAATAAACAATAATTTATCAAAATTTTTGTAAATAATTGAATCGTTTAGAAAAAATTTGATTAAAATGTTTAAAAATATAATTGAATTCTTTCGAAGAAATATATTTTATTTATAAAAATAATTGAATTTGACTAAAGAATTTTATCAAAATTTTTGAAATATAATCAAATTGTTGGAAAGAATATTATCAAAATTTTAGATAATAAATTTAATTCCTTCATGGAATTTAATTAGAATTGTTTTCAAAATATTGCAATTCTTGTAAAGAATTTTATAAAAATTTTTGCAAATAAATACATTTTTTTGAAAAACATAATTAAAATTTTTGAAAATAATTGAATTCTTCTTTTGGTGACATTTTATTTAAAAAAAATTGTATTAAAACCCAATTGAAATCCAACTAGGAATTTTTCTTTTTATGAAAAATTAAAAATAATTGAATTCTTGCCAAAAATTTTATTAAACTTTTCGAAAATAATTCAATTTCTGCGAAGAATTTAATTAAAAATTCTTGAAAAAAATTTAATTCTTTCTTTTGTGAAATAAAAATTGTATTTCAAAAAAAATAATTGAAATTCTGTGAAGAATTTTATTAAACTTTTTTAAAAATAATTGAATTTACGTTTAAAACAATCTTTTTCATAATTGTAGAAAATAATTGAATTTTTGATGAAATTTCATTGAAAATAATTGAATTTTCGTTTTAAAAAATTCTAAAAATAATTGAATTTATTTATTTTTTAATTTTTTATAATTGTAGAAAAGAATTGAATTTTTGACAAATTTTATTGAAAATTTCAAAAAGTAATTGTAATTTTTAATTAAAAAGTCTAAAAGTAATTGAATCCTTTTTTTTGCAAAATGTATTAAAAATAATTTAATTACTTTTTAAAGTCAGTTTTTTTTATATAATTTGACTTGTAAAAATTTAATTTTTGACGAATATTTTTTGAAAATTTCCGGAAAATAATTGAATTTTTTAAGTTACGCACAATAAAAATTTTCAAATATAATTGAATTTCAAATTTTCAACTGAAAATTTTTGTCAAAAATTTTTTTTTAACTTTTCGAAAATAATTAAATTTTTTCTTTTGTGAAATAAAAAACTGTATTTTAAAAAAAAAATTGAAATTTTTCAATAAATTTTATTATAAACTTTTTTTTTGAAAATAATTGAATTTTTTCGAAGAAATTTATTAAAAATTTAAAAAAAATAATTGAATTCTAATTAAGAATTGAATTTCTAATTGAGAAATTTGATTGAAATTGGATAGAAAATACATTAAAAATTATTAATTATTTTTTTTACAGGATTTGAAAGCGAATTTTGAGAAAAGAAAAAGAAAAATATAAAATGGAACGAATCTCATTAATTGTTTTAGTGGTAATGGCACTTTTTATTGTCGAGGGATTTTCGAGGGTTTGTGATATTAATTGTTGGCTAAATAATTGGATGTCTCGCGATGCATTTTGTGGCAATGGACCAAAATATTCTTATCCTGGACCAATTCACGGCACTTGCTATTGTTGCGGTCAAATATAGTACAAAAAAAATTTTTTTTTACAATTCAGAATTGAATAATTAGGTATTATTATTAATTATTATTATTTTTTGTTAATAATATTTTTTAAAATTAAAAATATTTTAACAATAATAAAAACTATTTTTTCACCCTCGATTCTATTAATTTTTTATTATTATTATTATTATTATTATTATTTTTTACAAAACAAGTTTAGGAGAAGAAAAAATTATTATTATTATTATTATTATTATTATTATTATTGTTATTACTATTATTGTAATAATAATCTATTTGAATAAATAATTATTTTTATAATAATTTTTATTAACTATTATATGTTAGTAATTATTTTTATTTAGTTAATAAATTTATAACAATTGTTAATTGTTAATAAAAAGAATTTAAATTGCTATCAAAAAATGATAAATGACTCTGTCTTTTCCCCCTCATTTTTAACTGCAAGTGTTTTTTTTTTATAACAAATGCCATGATTATTTTTTTCACAATATTGAGTTCAATGTTGCCTTAAAATAAATTTCCCCTCATCTGTAACAATAATCAGAAAAATATAAACAATTAATTATTGTTTTCTGATTTTTTTTGTTCATTTAGAGAGAGTAAAATAAAATATTAAAACAAATATTGAATATGAATCGCGCCTGTCTTATTGTTTTAATTATTATGACGATATTCATCGTCAATGGAATGTCATCACCACTACAACTTGGATGTGAAGTTAATTGTTGGCTAAATGATTGGCAAGCTCGTGATCATTTTTGCGGAAATGGAAATAAATACTCCTACAATGGACCTCTACATGGAAAATGTTATTGTTGCGAGGTAAGACTCGCTGGTTAATTTTTTTTTCTCGAAAACCACAACGATAATGATAACATAACAATAATTATGATAATAATGTAATAATTATATAATAATAATAACAATTATAAATAAAATAAAGCAAAATGATTTTTAATATTTATTTCTATCCTCTTCAATGTGTGCAAACAAATTTCTTGCAACATTAAAAAAAAAATTAATAAATAAATAAATGAAGAAAAGAAATCAATGAATTTGTATTTTCGAGTTATTTAATATTATTCCCTCTTGTTATTTTTATAAAAATTGTAATAAACAACAGAGAAATAAAATTATAATATTAGATACTATTCAATTATTTTCAATATACAATTTCAATAAAATTTCTCAAAAGAATTCAATTATTTTGAAAAATTTGATAAAATTCTTAGCGAAAATTCAATTATTTTGAAAAATTTTAATTAAATTCTTTATAAGAATCGAAAATATTTTCAATACAATTTTAATTAAATTCCTGAAAAAAATTCAATTATTTTCGGAAATTTTAATTCATTTCTAAGCAATATTTCAATTATTTTGGAAAATTTTAATTAATTTCTTGACAAAATTTCAATTATTTTTATAATTTAAAAATTTTTTTGCATATTAATTGAATTATTTTAAAGAATTTTAATGAAATTCTTTTCAGAAATTCAATTAATTTGAAAAATTTCCATAACATTATTTATAAGAACTAAATAATTTTCATAATCAAACAAATTTAATAATTTTAAAGAATTTTAATAACATTTTTCGAAAGAATTAAATTATATAAAAAAATTGGGAATTTTTAAATCCATTTGTTTGCAATTCAATTTTACCTCAAATTTCGATTATTCTGACATTCTTTGATGAAAAAAATTAGAAATTAAAAACTTCAAATTAATTAAAAAAAAATTCCATTAAACTTTTTGAGAAAAATTAATACTATAAATTTCCTTAAAAATTTTGTCAAGAATGCAAATAAATATTTTATTAAATAATTGAATGTTTCTTGAAATTGAATTTTCATAAAGAATTTTATAAACAAATTTTTAAATAATTGATTTCTCTTGACAAATTTTAATAAAAATTTCTAAAATAAGTTCATTTTTCGGAAATTTGATTAAAATTTGAATTAAAAACAATTTAATTTCTCCAAAGAATTTTATAAGAGTTTTTGAAAATAATTGAAATTTTACCAAGAATTTTATTAAAATTTAAAAAAAAAAAATTAAATTTTGGAGAAAAATTTATAAAGATTTTTGAAATTTTGACGAGAATTTTTGTAAATTGTTGAACACAATTAAATTATTCTGCGAAGAATTATATTAATTTTTGAAAATGATTGAATTCTTCAGACGAATTTTATTAAAATGTCTTTTTAAATAAATTGAATTCTTTTATGGAATTTTATTGAAATAGTAGACATTGAAAATAATTTAATTTTGACGAATTTTCGAAATTATTAAAATTTCTACGAAGAATTTCATTAAAATTATGTATTTTGAAAAAAAATTTAATTATTACAAAGAATTTGATTAAAATTTTTGAAAATAATAAAATGTTTTGAATAAATTTAATTAAAATTTTATAGAAAATAATACTTAAATTCTAATAAATAAATTCTATAATTCCATTATTTTTAATAATCAATTAAAAATATATATTAAAAAAATTTATCTAATTTCAGAAGAATTGGAATAATTAAAATTTCTCAAAAATCTACGTTCTTTAAGACAATTTCTAATTAAATTCATTCAAAAATTGAAATTTTACAAAATTTCAAATTAAATTTGAAATTCATCTGTACTTATGAAAATTGTAAACGCAACTTTTTTTTCAAAAATTTAATTAATTTTGAAATATTTATGTAAAATTAGATTTCAAGAATAAACTTTAGAAAATAACAATTTTCCAGAATTTCGATCAAAATTCCCTGACATTTCCAGGTTTCCATTACAAAAAATTGTAATAAAACTTCTCGAAAGAATTGAATTATGTAAAACACTCTTTATAAGAATTTAAATATTTTTAATATTATTTTAATGAAATTAAAAAAATTGTAGGTATTTTATAATTATTTCCGTACGACTTTATGAACATTTTGAAGAAAATTATTTTTGTTGACAATATTGAAGAATATACTTTGAAATAATAAACAAAAAATATCTCTAGATTTCCCTCTCTTTATTCTATATTATTGAGGGCAAGTGTGCGACTTGTTCCCCTATATAAATTGATTCTTATTTTTTAATCATCGGCAGAGTTTAGTAGAATTTTCTTAAAAGCGCATAAAGAACGTTTTAAATTCTCAAGGAAAATACTCTTGTAAGTAATGTCGAAATTTGCAAATTCTTTCAATTAATTAATTATTATTTGAAATTATTTGAATCTAGGAAACTTTTTTTTATATTTGAAAATAAGTGTCAAAAATTTCCCCCCAAAAAAAAAACAATTTTTCCGTAATAATTAAAAATTTTTGATATTTTATTTCCACTTTTATGTTTTGTTTTTAATTTAATTTAATTTTAAACGATTTAATTTTTATATTCAATTTCAAATTTTATGTTTCAGTTTAATTTTCAGTTGAAATTTAAACTATGCATTTAGTTAAACATAAAGTTTAAATATAATTAAATTAAAAAGTTTTAAAATTTTAAAGTTGAAATAAATTAAAATTTTTTAAATTCAATTAAATTAAAAATTTTCTAAATTTTAGAGTTTAAATTAAATTAGAATTGAAATTTAAATAAATTCAATTTAATTCAGAATTTAATATTCAAAGTTAAATTTGAAACAAAATTTAAAGTTGAAATTAATTAAATTAAAGAATTTTTATTTTTCAATTAAATTTAAAATTTAAGTTTTAAATTCTGACGCCTCCCATTGATAAATTCTTATTTTAATTAACAAAATGAGAAAATTCTATTTTAAAGTTTAGTTCAAAATATTATTTCATTTTAGAGTTTAATTTAAATTTGATTTAAAATTTAAGGTTCAAATTCAATAAAATTAAAAATTTCAGTAAATTTAATTAAATTAGATTTAAAATAAAAATAATTTTAATTCAAAACTTAAAATTTAAATTAAATTAAATTAAATTAAAAATTTGAATCAAATTATAATAAATAAATTATTTTCAGAGTTAAAAATAACAAATTCCGTTAAAAAAAAGAAAATGAATCGTACCTGTTTAATTTTACTCACTGTCCTTGCATTTCTCACCATTGGCGGAATGTCACAAAATCTTGGATGTGATTTTAATTGTTGGCTCAATGATTGGAGATCACGTGACAATATCTGTGGTAATGGACCAAAATATTCTTATCCTGGACCAATTCACGGCACTTGCTATTGTTGCTCATTAACGCCAACTGGATAAAGAAATAAATACAATTAGACGCCTGCTTGATAAAAAAAATTACTATTAGAAGCCTGATAAAAAAATTTGATAAACAAAATTACAATTAGACAAAATTACGATTTGATAAAAGAAAAAAAAAGAAAGAAACTGTAACGAACGTGACCTCAAAGTTGAATTTTAAGATAAATATTATTGAGAATTATTTTTTTTAATTTATCCGCACAAGTGGAGAATAAATAAAATAAATATCTTTAAAAGAGTCTTTAATTAGATATCCCTTCTTATTTTTTTCTAAAAGAAGAAAAGAAATAAAAAAATTGTCACTGCTCTCTATATAATGACAAAGTTTTTAATAAAATCATAAATTTAGATTTTATTCCTTCGAATTTACAACACAGAAAATATTTCGTAAGTATTTTTGTGGTATTTTTTTCTTTAATTTTTACATTATATTTTCAATTTTATTTAATATATTTTTATTTTATTTCAATATTTTTTGTATTTTCTTCTATTTAATTTTAATCTTTAAAATAAATTAAATCTGATTACTTTCATTGAATTTTTTTGATTTTATAATTCATTTTCTTTTGTAAAAATATAAATATAAGAAAATTAACAAAAATTTATAATAAGAGAACTAAGAGAAAAAAAAATTCTATAATATTGTAATTTCAGGGTTGCCACAAAAAAATTTAATTCAAATCTTTTCAAATTGAACAACTCATATAAAAATATTTATTATGAAACTTGAAGAAATCGAAATTAGAAATAAAGAAATTTCTTTGTTTTATAATAATTAAAAGATGACCGAGTGACAAAATCATTATTTTATATTATAAGAAGATTGTAGTTCTTCAAAAAATTTTTCATCATTTCAATTCAATTATTATTTTCAATAATTTTTAAATAAAATTCTTCTTTAAATTAATTTCAAAAAAAAAAAAAAAATTTCAAAAAAAATTGAAATTATACTTTTTTAAAAAAATTAATTCAATAGAGTTGCTAGTTAAAAGTAGGTACAAAAAATAATAATTCAATTCTACGAAAATTCAATTATTTGAATACAAAAATAAATAATTTATTCAATATTATTGAATGTTTCTTAAAATTTAATTTTTACGAACAATTTTATTAACAACTTTTGTAAATATTTCATTTCTTTTAAGGAATTTAATTCAAATTTTAATAAAATTTATTATATTAAAGAATTTTGTAACAATTTTGTTTTATTTTTGAAAAAAAATTAAAAAGTTTCTAAAGAATTTTATCAAAAATTATTAAAAATAATTTAATTCCTAAGAAGATTTTAAATAATAATTTTTGAAAACAATTGAATTCATGCGAAGAATTTTATTAAGTTTTCTTTAAATAATTGAAATTTTTGCAAAGAATTTTATTAAAATTTTTGACAATAATTTTATTCTTGAGAAGAATTTGCTATCTATTTATAAAGATAATTTAATTCTTGACGAGAATTTAAAAAAAAATTTTGAAAATAATTTAATTTCTACAAAAGTATTTTATTATACTTTTCAAAAGAATTGAATTCTTTTTGTATTTATCAAAATAATTGAATTTTAAAAAAGAATTTTATTAAAATTCCTTAAAATAATTGATTTTTTTGGAAAGAATTTTATTGTTTATCAAAATAATTGCATTCTTTTGCAGAATTAATTAAAAAATTTTTAAAATAATTGATTTTCTGCGACGAATTAAAAGTTATTTATGAAAAATAACTGAATTATTGCACCGAATTTTATTATTTTATTGAATAATTTAATGTTTCATAAAATTGAATTCTCTTGTCAAGTTTTAATAAAAATTGTTAAGAATAATTGCATTTTCGGAGGAATTCATTTTAAATTGTAGTAAAAAATATTAAAAATTTTGCGATGAAAATAATTGAATTCCTAAAAATGAAATTTTTATTATTTATTTATGAAAATAATTGAATATTGTCGTCGAATTGTATCAAAAAATTTTTTTTCAATAATTAATTCTTTCGATAATTTTTACGAAAATAGTAAATATTGAAAATTATTGAATTGCGAAAAAATTTCGAAAGCAATTGAATAGAATTTTTTTTTTTAAAGAAAATTTAATTAAAAATTTGAAAAAATTCAATTATTTTCCTAACTAATAAAAATCTTCATAAAAATTCATTTTATTTTGAAATATTTTTAATTCAATTCTTTATGCGAGAATTGAAATATTTTTAAGACAAATTTTAACTAAATTTCTCGAAAAAATCCAGTGATGTGTTTTCGTAAATTTTAATTTAAATTCTTAACAAGATTTCAATTAATTTCATAATTTATAAAATTTTTCGCTAAAATTTAATTTTATTTTAAAAGAATTTTTATATAATTCTTCGCAGAAACTCAAAAATTTAGATAAAATTATTTATGATATTTGGATTATTTTCCTAATTAATCAAACTCTTCGCAGGAATTTAATTATTTTAAAAGAATTTGGATAAAATCCTTCGCCAAAAATTGTATTATTTTGAAAAATTTCAATAAAATTCTTTATATGAAAAAAATTTAATAAAATACTTTGCAAAAATTTAATTCATTTTATTTTATTACAATTTTTGAAAATAATTGAATTTTTGTCGAAAAATTTTGCTATTTATAAAGAAAATTGAATTATTGACGAGATATTTGTTAAAATTTTTAAAAATAATTGAATTTCTTCGAAGAATTTTATTCCTTTTGAAAATACTTGAATTCTTCTGATGAATATTGTTATTTATGAAAATAATTGAATTTTCCAGAGAATTTTTATTAAAATTTCTAAGAACAATTTAAATTTCTATGAAGAATTTTCTTATTTATCTAAATAATTAAAAACTTTTGAAATAATTGAACAATATTAAAAAATTATTAAAATTATAATTAACAAATAATGCCTTAAAATTATTTATTTACTGAAATATATAATTAGAATTTTTAATTTATATAATTTTTAATTAATTTCGTTTAAATAGTTGAAATAATAAAATAAAAACAAAAAGAAAACAATTTGATTGACTAAAAAATATTTTTCTGTTTAGATTTATGAAGATTTGGATAAAAAAATGAATCGTACCTGTTTAATGATTATTTTCACTATTTTGACGATGACTTTTATTGCCGATGGATTATTATATCCGAGTTTTTGTGATATTAGCTGCAATTGCTGGCGAAATAATCAACAAGCACGAGATTCCGTTTGTCTCGATGATCCGGGAAAATATTCTTATCCTCTGCCATTTAATCAGGGTTTTTGTTATTGCTGCCCATTGATTCCCAGTTCGATAAAAATTTACAATCTGTAAAAATAATTCTACATTTTAAAAATACTTTATTATTATTATTATTATTTTTGTAAACTAAACGATGTAAATTATATTAAAAAATTTCGTTTGTATACATGAATAAACTAATAGACGATTATTGTAAATCTTGTAAATTTTTGCTTTTTTCTTCTTTCAAATTCTTTTTTATAGCAAAAAAATGCACATAACCTTCATAATTTCCTTTCTCAAATATTTCGATTATCTTCTTCTTTCTTTTCTTTTTTTATGACCAAAAATAAATGAAAAAAGCAAAAAATGCGAGTAAAATGCGTAAACGCACATAACCTCAACAATTTCTCTTTCTTTAAATGATAAATTTCTTTTTGCTTCCTTTCTTTTGGTGTAAAAAAAAGTAAAAAATTAAGAAAAAAAAACGAAAAAACCAGCAAAAAATGCACATAACCTCCATATTTTCCTTTCAAAAAATATACTCAAATGTTTGGAATTTCCATTTTTTCTTTCTTTTTCAAGTAAATGAGAAAAAAATTGAAAAAAAAATGCGAGTGAAATGCACAAAAGGCACATAACCTCCATATTTACCTTTCTCAAATGGTTCAATTCTTTATTTCTTTCTTTCTTTTTATGCGAATAAATAATGAATAAATTGAAATACACGAAAAAAAATGCATGTAAAATGAGTAAACACACATAAGTGTGTTTAAATTGCTCAACATTTGTCGCGCAAGATGAAAAGAAAATACAACCGATAATTTTGAAACAATGTTAAGAAAAATGCATACGACGAAATAAAATCGAAATCTTTCGCACGTTTTCCTTTCTTATTATAAAAAAAATTATTAATTATAAAGATTAAGATTGAAAGAATTAGAAGCGTGCATTGTGCAAGCAAGCGACAAAAGTTAGTACCACACATATTTAAAGTTTGACAAAAGAAAGTACAATCTTTTTTTTTCTTACCAAAACATGAATCGCAGGAAATAAACAATTTGAAATTCCAATAATCCAGTTGGATAGGAATCGGAGTTTTACATTTTTCGGTTATAATTTTTAAATCACTCATCGAAAAGTGTCGATGGTTTCGATGAATCGTAGTCGCATAGCAAGGTTGTCGGACAGGGTTGGGAAGGCAGGTTCCGCGTGTTTCTTTCTGTCCGTCTACAATAAAAAATAAAAATAATTGGAGAGTTTTCATGCGCCTCAAAATTCTGCGATGAAATTAATTGAATTCCTAAAGGAAATTTTATTATATTAATGAAAATAATTGAATGTTTACGTAGAATTGTATCAACAATTTTTTTTCAATAATTAAATTTTTAAATAAATTTTATGGAAATAAATATTGAAAATTATTGAATTGCGAAAAACTATTGAAACTAATTGAAATTATGCAAAGAATTTAATTTAAATTTTTAAAAATAATTGAATTTTTGGCGAAAGATTATGCTATTTATAAAGATAATTGAATTCTTGACGAGATATTTGTTAAAATTTTTAAAAATAAATGAATTTCTTGGAAGAATTTTATTACTTTTGAAAATAATTGAATTCTTCTAATGAATATTGTTATTTATGAAAATAATTGAATTTTGCAAAGATTTTTATTAAAATTCCTAAAAATAATTGAATTTCTGTGAAGAATTTTGTTATTTATCAAGATAATTGCTTTAAAACTTTTGAAATAATTGAACAATATTTAAAAGTTCATTTTGTGTTCAGAAATAGAAGAAAAAATCTTTTTACAGTACTTTTAATAAAAATTTCTGACTTTTGCCTGACCAATTCTACTTTCCTTGAATTCCCTGACCTTTGGCAACCCTGAAGTTGCATTTTATACTAAAAATTATTACAATATTTGGAAGAAAAATCGAAAAAGTCGTAATTTTTGAAAATAAGTCCGAGGTCTGCTCGGGGAATCCCCCCATAAAAATTTAATTTTTACCTTTCTTTATGGAATTTTTTGATGTGAACATGCAGGTCCGCTGACAATATTTCCCTTTCTCAAATATTTCAATTCTTTTGTTTCTTTCTTTTTATGAATAATATAAAAACTGAAAAAAAAACATCAAAAGAAATATGCGTATAAAATGCGTAAACACACATAACCTCAATATTTGTCCACCGGGATGAAAAGAAAATACAACCGATAATTTTGAAACAAATGTAATATAATGCATATTATTGAATTAAAGACAAATTCTTTGTATATTCACTGATTCGTAAGTTTTTCTTTTTATTAGAATTATTAATTAACAAGATTTTAAGATTAAAAGAATTAGAAACGTGCAAGCAAACGACAAGTTAGCACTACGTACATTTATATTTAAAGTTTGATTTGACAAAAGAAAATAAATTCTTTTCTTACCAAAATATGAAGCGCAGGGAATAAACAATTATTAGAAATTCCGGTTGGAAGGACTTGGACTGTTGGTGTTTTGTTAATTTTCGTTACTATTTTGAAAGCAGGTATCGACAAGTTTCGATGAATCGTAGTCGCAAAGCAAGGTTGAGAAGAGGACAAGGTTGTCGGGCAGGGTTGGGAAGGCGGGTTCCACTTGATTCTCTGTGTCCGTTCACAATAATCAGCGCAGTGCGTAAAGGTCAACTCACAACTGTTTCGCGAGCGCAAAGCGTGAGCTACAAAAGGACAGAGATTAAAACCGGGAAATTAATTAAATAATACAATTAATAAATTGAATAATTGAATAATAAAATCCGAATTTTCCTAATTAAGAAATTTAACAAAGATAATTCTAGACAAATTTATAAAGACATTCAAGTATTTATTATACAATTCACAAAATTTTTTTATTTAGACAAATTTTTATTTACCTGAATTTCTATATAACGATAAAAATTCGTTTAAATAATAATTTTTTAAACTAAAAATGCTGTTAAATAAAAAACATTCTGAAAAATAAAAATTTTAGTATAAATAAAAGAAATTAAAAAAATTAAAAATAATTTTAATTTTATTAAACATATGAGGGAACTTCCGTCTAATTACAATTCGGCGAAAAAGGAAATTATATTTAATAAAATTCTAATAAATGAAAATTCTTACAAATTACTTTTCTAGGGCTTTTTTTAAAGCAATATCAAATGAAAAAAAAATTTTTTAAATGAGTTTCTAAGTATTTAGCTTTATAGTATTTTGTTTCCCCTGGGTGTTTATGGAGATTGTTAGATTTTTTCTCTCTCTATCTATTTTAATAGAAATAAGAACTTCTCCCTTGTCTGTTGTTTCCTGTTTTTCTGTTTTTTCCTTCTCTTCCTCCACTTCTTCCTCTTCCACTTCCTCCTCTTCTTCCTCCTCTTCTTCCTCCACCTCTTCCTCCTCTTCCTCCACTTCTTCTTCTTCTTCCACTTCCTCCTCTTCCTCCACCTCCTCGTTCTCCTCAGGAATCAAACTAAAAATTTTTTAAAAGTAATTTTTAATCCAAATGGATAGGAAAGATTTGAAAATTTTTAAGAATTGTGAATAATAAATAAATTTTTTTCTATGCTTTTTTATAACGAATTTCGTTTGACTGTTCTAAATTATGCAAATTTTCTGTTTCTTTTTATTTATTAAAAATATAAAATTGTTAATAATTTAAAAATTATACAAATTAAGAAATACGAAATATATCAGTATTGACACAAAAATTTAATTTTGTTTTTCCCTGATTTCCAGAGAGAATTTTGACATTTTCCCTGAGCCTAAAGAATATTCTGATTATTATTTTTCCTCGAAAACTATGATTTTCAAAAATATCAAATTTAAACCATTTTGAAATTCAATAACTTATAAGAAAATTATTAAAAAATACGAAGAAGTCAATCACTCCGAATCTTAGACTCGAAGTGATTCACTTCTTCATGTTTTTATAATAATTAAATATTAAAAATTACCCAGTGATAAAATAATTATTTTATATATAAAAACATTGTTACTCTACCTTTTTCAAAATTATTTTCATCATTTAAATTCAATTAATATTTTCTAGAATTTTTAACTACAATTTTTCTTTAAATTTATTATTAGGTGAGAGTACGAAAAATTTATAATAATTCCAAAGATTTGAATTTAAAACCTTTTCAAAAATCAATTATTTCTAAAAATTCAAGCTTTAATCCTTTTAATATTAAAATTATTATCCAAAATTTTAACCGAAATTCATTTTAAAATCAATTTTTATTACAAAATTCTTCGAGAATTCAATTATTTAAATACCAAACTAAATAATTTATTGAATAGTTGAATGTTTCTTAAAATTGAATTTTTATGAAGAACTTTATTAACAACTTTGCAAAATAATTAATTTCTTTTAATGAATTTAATTAAAATTTTACAGAAATTTATTGAATTAAGGAATTTTATCATAATTTTTGAAAATAATTGAATTCCTTCGAAAACTTTTTGATTTTTTTGAAAAATAATTGAATTTCTTTCGAAAATTTTTTTGAAAATAATTGAATTCCATCGAAAAATTAATAATTTTTTTAAAAATAATTGAATTTCTTTACAAAAAATTTTTTTGAAAATAATTGAATTCTGCGAAAAATTTAATTTTTTTTTGAAAATAATTGAATTCTTGCCAAGAATTTTATAGACTTTTTTTTTTAAATAATTGAATTCCTTCGAAAAAAGTTAATTTTTTTTAGAATAATTGAATTCCTTTAAAAAATTAAATTTTTTTTTTTTTTGAAAATAATTGAATTATTGCCAAGAATGTTATAGACTTTTTTTTAAAATAATTGAATTCCTTCGAAAATTTTATTTTTTTTTTGAAAATAATTGAATTCTTTCCAAAAATTTATATTTTTTTTTTAAATAATTGAATTCCTTCAAAAAATTTAATTTTTTTTTTAATAATTGAATTCCTTCGAAAAATTTTATTATTTATGAAAATAATTGAATTTCACAAAAGACTTTTTTTTAATTATAAAGATAATTGAAATTTGGACGAGAATTTTTTAAAATGCTTAAACATAATTAAATTACAACGAAGAATTTTATTACTTTTAAAAATAATTGAATTTATTTAAAGATGTATTGAAAGTAATTATTAAATTCTAATAAATAAACTAAAGCAAATTCTTTTTTTTAAATAATTCAATTCTTTTGAAGAGTTTTAATAAATTTTTCCAGAAAAATTGAATTTTTTGAGAAATTAATTTAAAATTGTATTAAAAATAATTGAAAAACTATAATAAGTTTTATTAGTTATGAAAATAGTTGAATTTTTCCAGCGAATTTTATTAAAATTTTTAAAAATAATTGAACTATAGACAAGAATTATTTTTATTTATGTCGAATATAATTAAATTCTTTTGAAAAACTTTTTAAATTTTATTCTAAATAATTGAATTATTAAATTTCTTTTAAATAATTGAATTTTTGCTGAGAATTTTATAAAAAAAATTTTCTAAATAGTTGAATTCTTTTGGAATATTTTATTGAAATAGTAGATATTGAAAGTAATTGAATACTTACGAAGAATTGTATTAAAATGTGTGAATATTGTTATTTATGAAAATAATTGAATTCTTGCCAAGAATTTTATATTAATTTATGAAAATAATTGAATAATTCTTTTGCAAAATTACTTAAAATATTTTCAAAATAATTGATTTTCTGCGACGAATTAAAATTTTTTTTTATGAAAATATTTAAATTTTTGCAACGAATTTTATTATTTTATTGAATAATTGAATATTTCTTAAAATTGTATCAAAAATTTTTTTCAATAATTAAATTTTTTTAATAAATTTTACGAAAATAAATATTGGAAATTATTGAATTGCGAAAACTATTGAAACTAATTGAATTTATATATAAATTAATTATATATATAGATAATTGAATTTCTTCGAAGAATTTTATTACTTTTGAAAATAATTGAAATCTTGTGATAAATATTGTTATTTTTGAATATAATTCAATTTTGTAAAGATTTTTATTAAAATTCTTAAAAATAATTTTAATTATGTACCTTTCTTTATGGGATTTTTTGACGTGAGCATGCAGGTGCGCTCTTCTTGTAAACGTAGAACAGCAGAACTTGCAACTATGTTTTTTGACTTGATGGTGGCTGACCAGAATATGTTCTTTTAAATTGCTTTTCCATTGTAAGATTTTGTTACATATGTGACAGGTTCGTTGTTCAACAGGACAATGAACCTGTGATATGTGGTTTTTTAAAATCCATTGCCTCTGAAAGACCTCGTGGCAATGAGGACAAGCTGCCTCCACGTCCAGCTCGTGATTTTTCATGTGAATTTTCAAGTTATATTTTCTCGTAAATACTTTGCCACAAATGTCGCATGTAGGGTTACTTCTGAAAATTTTATAAAAATATTTTATATTATATTATATTTTAACATTAACATTTAATGAAACTGGCACTTAGTTATCAGCACCCACTTTATTTGAAAATCGAATTCTATCAGTTAAACATATTTTCTGTTTAAATCCAACATCAAATTTTGAAGAATTAAGTGCGTGTTAATGACTGGATGCAAGTCAGAGTTTCAAAAAAAATATTTAACGTTAAAATTTAATTTCCAAAATTAAATGTTAACGTTAAATATTTTTATAAAGCTAAAACTTGCACTCAGTTATCAGCACCAACCACTTAATTCTTCAAAATGTTATATTCGCTTTAAGCAAAAAAAAAAAAAATTGTTAACTGCTGAATTAAATTTTGAAAATAAGTGACCGAATTTTTTTTATAAAATCATTGAATCCGAAATACTTACGGTTCTCTTTTTGATTTTGCTCTGGGTCCCATTTTGAAAGATCCTGTGGAATAATACATAAATCTATATAAATAAAATCAGAGATTTTTTCTGTACATTGCTGAATTCTTTTCATAATAATTAAAATTCTTCGCGCAGAAATTTAATCATTTTAAAGAATTTTAATGAAATTCATTTAATTCTTCGCAAAAATTTTATTATTTTGAAAAATTTGAAAAAATTTAATTCTTTTCCAAACTAATAAAATTCTTCACAGAAATTCAATTAATTTCGAAATTTTGGTATAATTCGTTTTATAATTCAATTATTTTTAATTGGAATTTTAATAAAAATTCTTATCAAGATTTCAATTAATTTCATAATTAATAACGCTTCTCAAAAGAATTAAATTATGTAAAAAAACTCTTTTATAAGAATTAGAATATTTTTAATATTATTTTAATGAAATTAAAAAATTTTCTTTATATAATTATTTTCGTATGACTTTATGTGAATTTTGAGGGAAATTAATTTTGTTGACAATATTGAAGAATAATATGCTTTGTAATAATAAATTTTATGTTTTAAAATTCAATTGTCTTTTTCCTAATTTTCATCAAAAATATTTACTTTTTTCTTATTTTGCTAATAAATTTAATTTCTGCAATGAATTTTATTATTCATCAAAGAATTTAAATATTTATAAAAATAATTTAATTCTTGCGAAGAATTTAATGAAAATTTTTAATTAATTGATTTCTTTCCACTAATTTTATGCAAATTATAATTTAAATATTTGAAATACTGAAAAATTTTTATTATTATTCATGAAAAGAATTGAATTCTTACTGCGATTTTATTAGAAATTTGTTAAATAATTAAATTTCCAAGAAGAAATTAATTACTTTTGAAATTAATTGAATTCTTGTGATGAATATTGTTATTTATGAAAATAATTGAATTTTGCAAAGAATTTTATTAAAATGCCTAAAAATAAATTAATTTTTGGGAATAGTTTTGTTATTTATCTTTAATAATTGAATTCTTTCGAGAAATTATTTATGTAAATAACTGAATTCCTGGGAAGAATTTTATTGAAATCTAAAAGAATAATTGAATTCTTGCAAAAAAAAAATTTAATTAAAATTGTATTTAAATTAATTAATTTGTTCCGAACAATTTTAATAAAATATTTCAAAATAATTGAATTTCTGTGAAAAATCCTTAAATTTTTGTAAATAATTGAATTTTTTCAAAGAATTTTAAAAAAAACATTTTTTAAAATAATTAATTCTTTCGAGGAATTGAAATTAAATTTTTAAGAATAATTACATTTCTCGAGCAATTCATGTTAAGAAATTGAAATTCTGCAATGAATTTTATTATTTATGAAAATAATTGAATAGCTGCAAAGAATTTTATAAAAAATTTTCCAAAATAAATTGAATTCTTGAGAAGAATTTTAATATTTATGAAAATAGTTGAATTATTGCAAAAAATTTTATTTAAAAGTTTTTAAAAAATTAAATTGCTGTGAAAAATTTTGTCATTTCTTTCTTTCTTTATTTTTGGACAAAGAAATGAAAAAAACGAAAAAAGCAAAAAATGGGAGTGAAATGGGCAAAAGCACATAACCTCAATATTGTCCTTTCTCAAATATTTCAATTCTTTTGTTTCTTTCTTTTTATAAACATATAAAAACTAAAAAAAAACATCAAAAGAAATATTCGTATAAAATGCGTAAACACACATAACCCCAATATTTGTCCACCGGGATGAAAAGAAAATACAACCGATAATTTTGAAACAAATGTAAAATAATGCATATTATTAAATTAAAGATAAATTCTTTGTATATTCACTGATTCGTAAGTTTTTTTTTTATTAGAATTATTAATTAACAAGTTTAAGATATTAAAAGAGTAAAAAACGTGCAAGGAAGCGACAAGTTAGCACCACGTACATATATTTAAAGTTTGATTTGACAAAAGAAAATAAACTCTTTTCTTACCAAAATATGAAGCGCAGGGAATAAACAATTATTGGAAATTCCGATTGGAAGGACTTGGACTGTTCTTCTTCTTCTTCTTAATTTATGGAGAGTCGATCTGTTGCTCTGTTGGTGTTTTGTTAATTTTCGTTACAATTTTGAAAGCAGGAATCAACAAGTTTCGATGGTCGCAAAACAAGGTTGATAGAAGAGATAAGGTTGTCGAGCAGGGTTGGGAAGGCAGGTTCCGCGTGTTTCTTTCTGTCCGTCTACAATTATCAACGCAGTGCGTAAAGGTCAACTCACAACTGCTTCGCGAGCGCAAAATGTGAGCTAGAAAAGGACAGAGATTAAAACCGGGAAATTAATTAAATAAATTAAATAATATAATTAATAAATTAAACCCGAATTTTCTGCCTCTGTGTAAAGAGAGTCAGATTTCTATTTCAAATAAGAAATAACTGAACAAATATGCAAATAGTTCAGTTCATTGTGAAGTGAACCTAAATTTCTTCGAACTGCTTAGAACGAAATTAATTTTGTTGAATCGAATTAGGAAGGTAATTGTAGACAAATTTATATAGACATTCAAGTATTTATTTATACAATTCATAAAATTTCATTTTTATATCAACAAATAATAATAAGAGTATCAGAGATTTTTTACACACTAAAATAGTAAGTACAAAAATAATAAACAAATATATACCGTATAATTAACGACATTCACAATAAAATTGATTCTCGTTATTTTTTTTTGTTATATTTCTCATTTTGTGCTAATTATTTATGTTTATTAATTGATTTCGAGAAGAAATTTTCATAAAATTGTCGAAATTAAAATGTTACACTCGTTACACTCTCCGAAAAAAGTTACAAAAAATTTGAGGTTATGTTGATTATGTTTCGAAATGGTTTCGAATTAAAATGGCACGAAGGGGCTCAACTGATGTTTAAGACTTTATTGCATTGAAAATAATAAAAAAATGATTTTATTTTTAAATTCAACACGCAGAAATATTATAACAAATTATATTTAGGTAATAAAAACATAAACTTAAAATAATGTAACTTTTTTCGGAAAGTGACACATTATTAATTAATTAATTATAATAAAATAAAATAAAATTAAATTGATTACTATATTTATATTATGTATAATTAATTATATTTAACTAATTATACAATTAATTATTAATTAAATTTTAATATTAATTTTTAATATTAATAAATTGTTAATTAATTAATTAATTAATTATATAATTAATTATACATAATAAATTAAATATAGTAAATAATTTAATTTAAATTTATAATAATATTACTATTTTTGATTTAGGTATATTTCAAGTAAAGAAAAAAAAACAATTCGAAATTCTCTTTTCTTTTTCAATAAAATAAACAATTTATTTCTAAAACATTTTAAATATTGCGAAAACGAATAAAAACGGATTAAAATAATTAAAAATCTGCTATTACAATAATTACATTTACACATTATATAAAAAAAATATTTACCGGATTTATCACAAGTATTGCGATGATTATCATATTATTTATCGAAGGGGAAAATAATTATTGTTCTATCACAAATGTAGCTTTTAATAATACCGTTTTTTTCTTTCCTTCCTCTTCTTCTTCTTCTTCTTCTTCTCCTATTTTTTTTCCTCAACAAATGGCATCGATATTACAAAAAAAAAAAATAAATAAATAAAAATTAGGACAAAGCACAAACATAAAAATTTTTAATACGCACGCACTCTGTTTCTCTCTTTTAATATTTTATCACATTTTTTCTTTTTTGTTAAATATGAAAATTCTCTTTTTAAGTACTTAAATAATTATTAATTATGAATAGAAATAGAAAATACAAAATTCGAAACCCAAAAAAGCGAAAAAAACAAAAACATTTCTTCATCAACAGTTATATGATGAGAATGAGTAAGAAATTGAGATTAAAATATTTTAGAAATGTAGAAAATGTTATTTTTAAAAATTTAGTTTCATTAAATTAATTTATAAACTAGTATTTAAGTTACTAGTTTCTATAAACTAGTAATAATTAATCTAATCTTATTCACTTTTTAAAAAAAAGAAATTTGATCATCATTTTTTTTCCTTTTGCAAAAAGAAATTGTAATTTTTTTTTTTTTAAAAAAGCCAAATCGTTGCTTTGCTATAATACTATTCTCATTGAATCTACAACTTGGAAATAATAATAATAATAATAATAATACTAAGAGAAATAGTAATTATAGTATTAATTATAATAATAATGATAATAATCAATAGTAGGGGAATGTAGTCAAGGTTGGCCTACTGTCTAGGTAGGCCACTCGCGTTTTTTTGTCAAGTTCACTAGCGCCACCTACGCGCATTTTTGTCGAAGCTTGTCTTAGTGAAACCTAACTTTTTGTTCAATTACATTTTCGGAAAATCGAAAATTGTGTTTTCTGTGACGTCGGTACAAAAAAAGCTCAAAAAAAGTTTTGTGCATAATGTGAAAAACCATTAATAAAAGATAAAAAACAAATTGAATCGTCAAGGCAAGTATGCAGAAAATTTGTGGGACTCATGGTTGAAAGAAAAACAAAGTAAAAAATCAAATCCCGAAACGTATTTCTTTATGGTTACAACAATTCGGTAATGTTACTTACTGTCAAGGTCGGCCACTATGTGTTTAAAATGCGCAAAGTTGAGGACGAGCTACTTCATTTGCAAAAACTGCAATTCTGTATAACTCATAATATAATTGATCATCTTATTAATATTTTTATTTAATTTTATTAATATTTTAGTGCAAAATTTTTTTTTATTTATATTTATTTTTTTATATTGTTTATTGTTATTATTTTGTTATTTCATTAAGTTACAAACTGTAAACAATAAAGAATCAATTTTCCGTAACTCCAAACATGTTATTTTATTTTTTAACGATTAATGCCCTTTGAATTTTAAACATGGCCGACCTTGACTGTAATGGCCAACCTGGACTACAAATTTTTTTTTTTTTAAATCTTTATAACTTTTTCATTTTTAAACTTGTCAATTTACTTTGTACAGAAAAAATGTTCCTATTAAACAGGACTTTCCAACCATATACTTCAATTGTCCAAATTCATTTTTAAAAAAAAGTTATAAACAAAAGTCAAAAAGGTGGCCGACCTAGACTATGTTCCCCTACCTAATAAAAATAAAATAAAGTAAGAAAAGAAATATTTACTATTACCTACGAATAATAATTATCAAATTCATAATAATAATAAAAATAATAATATGCAATAAAAATAATGATAATAATAATAAAAAAAATAATGGTAATAATAATAATAATTAAGCGAAAAAGGCACATTTAGAGAGACGGTAAAAAAAATTTCAATTTTCATCAAATTGGGAAAATTGTCAATTATCGCTTATTTTTCTACTTTCAATTGTTTATGATTAAAACATTAAAATTTATTCAACAAATTAATTCAATATTTCTCAATTTTGACGAATTAATTCAATATTTATCAATTATATTGACAAATTAATTTAAATGTTGAGTCATTATTTAACAAATTAATTACATTTTATTTAATTTTTTAACTAATTAATTTAATATTAATAATTTTTTTTAGATAAATTAATACAATATTAATCAAAAATTGTCAAATTAATAGAATATTACTCAATTTTTGACGAATTAATGGAATATTAAAATCGATTATTTTCAACAGATAATTAAATTTTTTAACTATATTGACTGATTTAATTGAATATTATTTAGTTTTCTAATTGATAAATTGATTATTATTCAATTTTTTGACTAATTAATTCATTGGTATTAAACTTTTTTGAAAAATAAATTGAATAATATTCTTATTATTTTAAAAAATTAATTCAATATTATTCACTTTTTTGTTTTTAATTCAGCGTTTTGAGTAATAAATTATTATTATAACATTTTGACTAAATAATTGAATTACCAATTTTTCAAGATAATTGTCGAGAATATTAATCAATTTTTTAAAGAAATTAATAAATTATTCAATTCTTTGATTAATTAATTGTATATTTTTAAATTTTTTAAATTAATGAATTGAAAATTAAGCAATTTTTTGAAAAATGAATATTTTTTTAAAAATTAATTCAATATTATTCATTTTTTTGTCCATTTATTATTATTGAACTTTTTGAGTAATAAATTATAAATTGACTTTTTGACTAAATAATGAAATGTTATCAATTTTTTTTTATTAACTAATTGAATATTAGATATTCAATTGACAATTTCTCAATATTTTAAAAAATAATTCCAGTAGTTTTGAGATTTTAAACAAATTTTCCAGAAAGTAGTTTTGAGATATTAAACAAATTTTCCAGAAAATAATTGAAATATTAATCGATATTTTTAAACAATTGAATAAATTATTTAATTCTTTGATTGACTAATTGAATATTTTTCTATTTTTAAACTAATGAATTGAAAATTATCCAATTTTTTTGACTAATATTCTTAATAATTGATTAATATTGAATTTTTTTTGTAAATTAGTTTTTAATTTGTTGAATTATTAAATATTAAGTAATTTAAAAAAAAATTAAATATTACTTCCTTATATATCCTAATTGTTAATTACAAATTTATTAATTTTGGAATTTAATAATTAGTAATTAACAAATTAAATCTTTTTTTTATTATTATTATTAAATTTTCTTTCTTATCGTCATATAAAAATAAATTTGTCATTTAAAAAAGAAGCAAAATTACTTATTAGGTATTTTTAACCATTTTTTTTTGTTTGGTCTTTTAAGAAAATTAATTATGATTTTCAACCAATATTTTGTGTTTTTTAAAGAAAATTACTTATTAATTATTATATCAACCAATTTGATAATTTTTTATGATAAAATTTGTAAAATAATTTTTGTTTTTTTGATTTGCAACGTTTAACAAAAATCGTAATTTGTTTAAAGTTAATTAGCCTCTGAATATTGTTCTCAGTTTTTTTTTCTTTTTTTATTTTTTGCTTTTGTTCTTTTTTTCTTAACGTTTATCTTTGCTTTCACTTTTCGTTTTTCTTTTGTTATTGTTTTTACTTTTGCTTTTGTTTTTACTATTGCTTTTGTTTTTTTTACTATTCTTTTTGCCTTTGTTCTTCTTGTTGTTTTTGCTTCTCTTTTACTATTGTTTTTGCCTTTATTTTACTATTGCTTTCGCCCTTATTTTTGCCTTTGTTTTACTATTGTTTTTGCCTTTCTTTCACAATTGCTTTTGCCTTTGTTTTACTATTGTTACTGCTTTTTTTTTACTATTTTTTTTTCGCCTTTGCTTCACTATTATTTTTCGCTTTCGTTTTTGCCACTTTTTGCCCTATTGTTCTTGACACTTTTTACTAACATTTTGCTATTGTTTTTTTTTTGTTTTTTTTTTGTTCTAATTAAACCGCCTGAGGACTCTTTGCATTTAACGGTTCCCTAGCGGCGTTTTTCGCCTTCTGCTGTTGTCGCCTCTTAATACGACGTTTTCGTTCCTTTGACTCAGCACCGACAGCAATGAAATTATTGTGGAAATATTCCTCAATTTCTGAGAGTTTCTTGCCATGAGTTTCCGGAAGCAATAGCCAGACAAATACCGCCGCACCAATTGAAACGCCAGCGAAAAACCAGTGCAGACGATGCGGAGCTGTGAAAAAAGAAACAATCAATATAGAAAGGGGAAAAAAAGAAAAAAAAACGAAAAAAAGAAAAAGAAGAAAAGGAAAAAAATTAAAGAAGGAAGAAAAAAAAGAAAAAAGGAAGAAAGGAAAAAAATAAAAGAAGGAAGAAAAGAGAAAAAGAAAAAGAAGAAAAGAAAAAAAAAGAAAAAAAATTGTTTACCTCCTAGAAACTCGATTAATCCAAAGTAACTCTGAACTGCGCCAAACATCAATAAATTCGCCATCGAATAACTTATCGAATGGGCAATATGACGAATTTCAGTGGGAAAAAGTTCAGCAGTCATTGTCCATGGTATCGTTAGCATTCCAATCATCGACGTGCAGACATAAAGTAAAAGACAAAATACAGGCACCCAATTTCCATCGTTACTTCCCTCCTCGATTTTAAGTCTATAATAACCGGAAATCGACATGGAAATTGCCATTCCAAAGCAGGAGATAATACAGAGAATTCGCCTCTTAAATCTTCGGAGAAGAACAGTGTTCACCATTGAACATAAAAATCGTGTCAAGCCAACTAAAATTGAAGCTATATATGCATTTACTTCGATTCCCTGGAAAGTAAATAGAAATATTTATTCAATATTCAAATATTAATATTAATAATATTAATTTACTTCTTTACTAAATTCAAAATATTCTACAGAGATTTTGGTTTTAAATATTTTTAAAAACAATTATTTACTTTTTACAATTACTTTTTCTTTCAAAGAAGAAAATTAAAAAAATACTTACATCGAACCAATTAACAGCGTAAAATAGAGTAATGTAAATTCCTGAGAATTGTTGAAAGAGGAAGAACAAGAATAGAATGAACATTGGTTTCCATCCGGTTGGTTTCAGGAATGCCTGAATTTTCGTTAAGAAACCACTTCGTTTACTTCGTCGTTGATCGCTCAGACGAATTTCATTTTCCTTCATAATTGTCGTGAATTGCGTCTCTAGACCGGAAGCTTTTCCATCGTCCTCAAATTTGTAGAACCTGCGAATCGAGTTATAATTATTTTAAAGAATTGGTTATAGTAAACCTAATATTCCCAAAAATTATTAAAAGTATTTAATAATAGGTACTATTTACTGATTAAAAAATTAAAATTTATTATTTAAATTTGAAAGAATGTCAGTAGAGTTAAAAAAATATTTACAAATTTAAAAACACTTTTTTTTTAACTAGAACCATAGAAGTGAAACATTTTTTAACGAAGAACATTTTTGTTACAGGTTTATTACAAGTACAAGGAACACTGGAGCAAATTGCAAGGGTTTTCTAAGGTGAAATTCTGAGCTTATTTTATTAGAATTATTTATAATTCTACCTGAAAAAAAGTTTATAAATTTGAAAAATTTGTAGACGACATTTTCTTGTACTTCAGTACAAGGAACACTGGAGCAGATTGCAAGGCTTTTTTAAGGTGAAATTCTGAGCTTATTTTATTAGAATTATTTATAATTCTACCTGAAAAAGTTTATAAATATAAAAATATTTTTTTTCACTTAGAAAAATTAATCTAAAATATCATGATATAGTCTTTGAACGATTCCTATAGATTTAAACTTTTATTAACTTATTATTATACTTTTTTTTTAAATTGTTCAACTCACCATTCCAAGCTCTTTCGTGCCTCCTCAATTTTCCCCTTCGAAACAAGCCAAACCGGTGATTCGGGAACGATGAATTGAATTAAAAATACGGGGAATATGGCGAAAATAATACTAAACCAGGCGACATTTCTCCACGGTAAAAAGGCACCCATCAAATATGCCAAGAGCATGCCAAATGATGCTAATGTTGGTCCAAAGGACATTAAGGCACCACGTAATTCAGGCCTCGCAACTTCAGTTATGTAAACAATGGCGGGCGATGTAGCGAGAGCCGTGGCCAAACCGGCCAATACACGGCCAATAAAAATCATTGGTAAATTTTGCGCTGACGCTATTAAAACATAACCTCCAACGCACGGTATCGTTCCCAATTGTAGTGTTCGCGTTCTTCCCAGTGATTCCATTAGAAAGCTTCCGATAAATGCACCAATTGGGGTACAAAGAATCACGATACTCGCTATTAAGGGGAGGAAACAAATTATTAATTAGTAAACAGATAATCAAAATATAAAATAAAGATAAAAAAGTAAATAGAGATTTTTTTATTTCTTCTTTTTTCTATACTTTCACTTGAAAATTTTAAAACATAACCTAAAAATGTTTGCTACTCAGGTATCTTTCTTCGAAGCGCGTTACATTTACTGTTACTATTCAATTCACTATGTATTACTATTTTGGGAATTTTTAAGTTTTAAATTTAAATATTCAGACTTCGTACTCGACAATTAATTTTAAAAAAGTAGCAAACAGTAGCTTTCAAACTAAAAAAAAAGTAGTAAAAAAATAGCTATCGAAAAATTAAACTTGATGACCAAAAAAACTTGTTTTAAACACTTCACAACACTGTCAAAAATTACATTCCCTATTTTTTATTTTCCTAATTTTCATCAAAAATATTTACTTCTTTTATATCCTGCTAATAAATTTAATTCTTACAACGAATTTTTTTATTCATGAAAGAATTTCAATATTTATAAAAATAATATTTTATTTATAAAAATTTAATTCTTGCGAAGAATTTTATGAAAATTTTTAAATAATTAATTTTTTTCAACTAATTTTAGGCAAATTCTAATTTAAATAATTGAATTTCTGAGAAATTTTTATTATTCATGAAAATAATTGAATTGTTACGAAGATTTTTAAAAAAAAAATTTTTGAATAATTGAATTCCGTTTGGAAATTTTATGAAAATATTAGATATTAAAAATCATTGATGTGCGACAAGTTTTTAAAAATAATTAAATTTTACAAAGAATTCTATTAACATTTTTGACAGTAATTGAATGTTTGGGTGAAATTTTATTAAATTTTTTTGAAAATAATTGAATTCCTCAGAAGAATTTTATTATTTATGAAAATAATTTAATTTTCGGGAATAATTTTGTTATTTATCTTTAATAATTGAATTCTTGGAAGGAATTTTATTAAAATCTAGAAGAATAATTGAATTATTTAAAAAAAATTTAATTAAAATTGTATTTAAAATAATTAATTTCATTTGAACAATTTTATTAAAATATTTGAACATAATTGGATTCCTGAGAACAATTTTATTATTTATGAAAATAATTAAATTGAAAAAATTTTATTAAAATTCCTGAAAATAATTTACTATTTAAGGAAAATAATTGAATTTCTGCGAAGAAAGTTTATTATTTTTGAAAATAATTGAATTATTTTAAAGAAAGTTTTTAAATAATTTTGTAAATAATTGAATATCTAAGAAGTTTCTCTTTTATTTTTTTGTAATTGAATTATTGTAAAAAATTTTATCAAAATTTTTAAAAATAATTGAATTGATGCAAAGAAATATTATAACAATTTTATTAAAATATTTTAAAATAATTGAATTGTTGCGAAAAAATTTAGTAAAATTTTTAAAAAGAATCGAATTTTTGTGAAAAATTTCGTTATTTTTTAAAATAATTGAATTCCCCTTAAGAATTTTATGAAATTTTTTTTTTTTTAAATTGAGTTTCCTTGAAAAATGTTGAAAGTAATTGAATTATTGCGAAGAATTTGTATAAAAATCTTGTTAAATAATTGATTTTTTCGAAATTTTTTTTTGAAAATGCTATTTATAATTAATTGAATTCCTGTTGAAATTTATTATTATTTTATATAAAAATAAAATAGAAATATTTTAATAATAATAATTATAATAATGGGTATTAATAATAATTATAATAATAATTATGATAATAATCACTATGTAAAAAAATAATAGTTACAGAAAATATTGATAAAAACAGAATTTAGATAAATCCAAATGACAAAAAAAAACTTAATAATAAGACAGATAATGAAAAATAATAACAATAATAAAAATAAATGTCTAGACTTTATTTAAAGAATTACCGGCATTTCCAAGTTGAAGGACAGAGATAAAAATGATTCAAGGCTCGCTAATTTATATTATCATGTGACTATAATGGCACGCAAAGTGTTTCGCGTAATTAATCTGGATGAGTTACTCTAACCGAAATTAAACAAAATTTGTATTTATTAAATCAATATTGTTATCCTGATGCTTTTGGAAAATTTTTAAAGAGACGGAAAACTTTTTTATTTTAAATAAAGTTTGTAAAAATTATTGTGTTTTAATATTATATTATAAATTTTTATTATTATTATTATTAGTATTGATATATTATTTCTATTGCTATTAAATATTTTTATTTACAATTATTTCCGTTTTTGCCAATCTTAACTTCTTTTATTTTAATTTTAAATTTTAATTAAAAATATTAAAAACGATTTCCTATTAAAAATTAAAAACAACATTTTTAATTAAAATAAAAGAAAATATGTCTTTTTCGCTTTATAATTATTATTTTTATTATTATTATAAAAAATTATTATTATTATTTGTTTTTTATAAATTATTTTGCTATTATTATTTTATATTATTGTATTTATTATTATATTCAATAAATTTAAAGTTGAAGAAAGAACGTAAAAATGAAATAAGAGAAGAAAATACTCTTTCTTTTAGAATAAATTATTTTAAATTTTTAAATTATACTAAAAAAAATATTACCAATCCAGGAGCATTCTTCTTTTGTTGCATGCAATTCCTCGGGCTCTGTCCAATTCGTCGAACTTGAATTTGAATGAATGTCAGTCGAGTTCGATACTTTTTGTAAAACTGGAATAATAACTGCCGAATATGCCATACTTAGGCCAACGGCAATGTGAAAAGACGCCGCAATTATACATGCTGTCACCTTAAAAGAGAATTAAAGACAAAAATTATAATGACAATTGAAAAATAATAATAATAATAAAAAATAAATAATAGGTCAAATTTTAAGCTTATTTTATTAAAATTGTTTAGAAATAATTTTTCTAATTAAGTTATATTTTTCGTCTAAATAAATACAAATTTTCTTCTCTTGAAAAATAAATTACAAACAAAAATAAACTATGGAAAAATGGAAGACTAACTCTGCTGGGGCTCGAAAATTTGTTTTTTTGTTTGAAAAAAATATTTACAAGTTTATAATAACACGTTTTGTTTCTTACTGGAAAAATTTTAAAAGTTAAACATATTTTTTTTAACAGAGAATATTTTTTTTACAGGTTATTGCTTAGTACAAGGGACACTGGAGCATATTGCAAGGTTTTGAGGTGAAATTCTCAGCTTATTTTAATAGAATTAATTAAAATTCTACACAAAAAAAGTTTATAAAATTTAAAATATATTTTCCATATTCAGGGTTGTCACAGGTCAGGGAAATCAGAGAATTCAGGGAAAAGTCAGGGAAAGTAAAATTGGTCAGGGAAATCAGGGAAAAGTCGGAAATTTTTATTAAAATTACTGGAAAATTTTTTTTTTCTATTTCTGACCACAATTGATTTTTAAATATTGTTTAATTATTTTAAAAGTTTAACGCAATTATCTTGATAAATAACAAAATTCTTCACATAAATTCAATTATTTTCATAAATAACAATATTCATCACAAGAATTCAATTATTTTTAAAAGTAATAAAATTCTTCGAAGAAATTCAATTATTTTTAAAAATTTTAACAAATATCTCGTCAAGAATTCAATTATCTTTATAAATAGCATAATTTTTTGCCAAAAATTCAATTATTTTCAAAAATTTAAATTAAATTCTTGCAAAATTTCAATTAGTTTCAATAGTTTTTAGCAATTCAATAATTTTCAAAATTTACTATTTTCGTAAAATTTATTGAAAAATTTAATTTTATTGAAAAAAAATTGTTGTTACAATTCTAAGAAAACATTCAACTATTTTCAAAAATAATAAAATTTCTTTTAGGAATTTAATTGATTTCATTGCAGAATTTTAAATATTTTTAATTTAAAAAAATTTATTGCAAAATTCAATTATTTTCAGGAGTTTTACTAAAATTTCTGTCCAAATCCAATTTTCAGGATTTTTTAAAAAATTTATTGAAAAATTCAATTATTTTCATGAATTTTGATAAAATTCTTCGCAAAATTCAATTATTTTCAGAAGTTTTAATAAAATTTTTTTCTAAATTCAATTTTCAGGAATTTTAATTAAAATTTGTTGCAAAATTCAATTATTTTCATGAATTTTAATAAAATTTTTGTCTAAATCCAATTTTGGGGAATTTTTAAAAAATTTATTGCACAATTCAATTATTTTCAGGAATTTTAATAAAAATTTTTGTCTAAATTCAATTTTCAGGGTTTTTTTTTTAATTTATTGAAAAAAACAATTATTTTCAAAAATTTAAATAAAATTCTTTGCAAAATTTCAATTAGTTTCAAAAGTTTTTTGTAATTCAATAATTTTCAATATTTACTATTTTCATAAAATTTATTAAAAAATTTAATAATTGAAAAAATTTTTTGATACAATTCTACGAAAACATTCAATTATTTTTATAAATAATAAAATTTCATTTAGGAATTCAATTATTTTCATCACAGAATTTTAAATATTTTTAATACAATTTTAAATACATTCCTCGAAAAATGCAATTATTCTTAAAAATTTTATTAAAACTTAACAAAAGAAGTCAAGTTTAAAAAACATTCAATTATTGAATAAAATAATAAAATTCGTTGCAATAATTCAAATATTTTCATAAAAAACTTTTAATTCGTCGCAGAAAATCAATTATTATCAAAAATGTTTAAGTAATTCTGCAAAAGAATTCTATTATTTTCATAAATTAATATAAAATTCTTGGCAAGAATTCAATTAATTTCATAAATAATAAAATTTTTCAAAGGAATTTAATTATTTAAAAAAATTTTCTATAAAATTCTTGGCAAAAATTCAATTATTTTCATAAATAATAAAATTCTGCGAAAGAATTCAATTATCTCGATAAATAACAAAATTCTTCCCAAAAAATCAATTATTTTAAGGAATTTTAATAAAATTCTTTTCAAAAATTCAATTATTTTGATAAATAACAAAATTTATCACGAGAATTCAATTCTTTTGAAAATTAATAAAATACTTTGCAAAAATTAAATTATTTTCAAAATTTTTGAAAAATTTTCGTCAAGAATTAAGTTATTTTTATAAATAGGTTCCGAAATTCTTCTCAAGAAGTCAATTATTTTCAAAAGTTTTAATATAATTCTTGTCAAAATTTCAATTATTTTTTGCACAATTTAATAAAATTCTTTGCATGAATTCAATTACTTTCATAAATTATTAATTAAATTTTTCCCATTAATTCAATTATTTTTAAAATTTTTAATAAAATTCTTCAAAAGTTTTCAATTATTTCCAAAAAATGTGATAAAATTCTTTAATTCAATATATAAATTTTTGTAAAATTTTAATTAAATTCCTTAAAAGAAATTAATTATTTTGAAAAGTTGTTAATAAAATTCTTCATAAAAATTCAATTTTAAGAAACATTCAACTATTCAATAAATTATTTAGTTTCGTATTTTAATAATTGAATTATCGTAGAATTTTCCATGACAAATTTATTTCAAAATGAATTTCGGTTAAAATTTTAGATAATAATTTTAATATTAAAAGCATTAAAGCATGAATTTTTAGAAATAATTGATTTTTGAAAAGGTTCTAAATTCAAATCTTTGAAATTATAAATTTTTCGTACTTTTAACTAATAATTAATTTAAAGAAAAATTGTAGTTAAAAATTCTGGAAAATATTAATTGAATTTAAATGATGAAAATAATTTCGAAGAAGTTAGAGTAACAATATTTTTATATAAAATAATAATTTTATCACTGGGTAATCTTTAATATTTAATTATTATAAAAACATGAAGAAGTGAATCACTTCGAGTCGAAGACTTAGAGTGATTGACTTCTTCATGTTTTTTAAGAATTTTCTTATAAGTTATTGAATTTCAAAAGGGTTTAAATTTGATATTTTTGAAAATCTTAGTTTATAAAAAAAATATTTTTAAAAATATTTTTTTCCATGTAGAAAAAATATTGTAAACAAACAAATTTTTTTGTACTTTAATGCAAGGGATATTGGAAAATATTCCAAAGGCTTTTTTAAACTTTTTAATTTCCTAAATTTTGTAGAAAAGTTTTTAATTTCTTTTTCCATTACCTCGGGAATTGCATTTTTGATTTTCGTTGGCTCCACGAATCCTTTATTTAAACTTCTGCTCGAAACAATAGCATCCTTAAAGCATTCTCTCTCATTTTCTTCGATATTTTTTGACGCCTCGCGTTCGACACTGAAAATATATTTAAAAAAATATTAGTCTAGACAAATAATTGCAATTTTACCTAAAAAAAATTAATTCAAACTTAAAAAATATTTCTTCGTCGAATTCTATAAGAAAAATAGAATTTTATCATTTTTCTTCTAGGAAATTATTTTTCAAAACTGATTTAAATTTCAATTACAAAATTTTTTGAATTAAATTAAAATTAAATTACAAAAATTTTGAATTCAATTAAAAATAACAAAAATTTTAAAATAAAAATACAAATTTTCCAAACTTAAATAAAAATTGAATTAAAATTCTTTTTCAATATTTTAATAATTTCTTTTAAATTCGTATGGAATAAATAGTTACAAAAAATAATTTTTAAATCACTTTCGATTAAAAATTTTTCTAAATAGAAATTTTTTTTTCGCTAATTAAAAGCAATTTGATTATTGATTATTAACTTCTTTTTCCCCGAACAAAAAATAATATCAAGTAACGGAATATCGATAAACTGGATATATTTATTGACACTTACTGTCAAATAATATACAGGCGCGTGCAGTCATTTTAATGAAAAAGTCTCTTCTGAGGACAAATTGATAAAAGCAGAAAAAAAGTGTTCTAAAAGATCTAGTAAAAATAATTAATTTCTCCAATTAGATAAATTTCCTCCAGTAATATAATTAATTTACCATATCACAAATTAACAATAAATAAAAAATAAATTAAGCTAAATTAAAAATATTTTAGTATAAATAAATTGAACAGAAATTAAACTAAATTGAACTTTAATTGTATTTTTTTCACTTTTTTACTTTTTAATAAAAAAAAAATAAAAATTATTCCTGACATAAACTTAACAGCGATAGGAATTCTGCGAAACTGTATTTTTTCAAAATATGAAAATAATTTTTCTTTTATGATTTCCTCAACATTTATTTATGAAGGCAGAAAGAGAATATAATTATTATTTGTATTTATCTCTCTATTGACTTAATTCTGAATTTTATTATCCTGTAAAAAAAAAAATACATGACAATATTTTTATATAAATATGTTGAAAACATTGTCATTTATTGATTTTATTATTTATTCTTTTTCTTATTATTATTATTATTATTATTATTTTTATTATTATTATTATTATTATTATTTATCACTTTTTAAAAGTTTTTTTCAACGTTTTTTTAAACATTTCTTTAGTATTTTTATTATTTATTTACTATTTCTATTTATTATTTATTTAAAGTTTTTCAAAGTATTTCTTAAGTAGTTTTTTAATATTCTTCAAATACCTACTTCTAAGTGAGGTACTTATTTAGAATCAAGATTTTGAAATTTTTACGAATTTTTATTTAGTTATTTTTTAGTTATCGTTTAGTTCTCTTTAGTTTTAGTCGATTTTTATTTAATTTCCGAATTTTTCAGTTAATAATATAATTAGTAATATTAATTAATAATATATAAAAATATTAATATAGATAATAATAAAAATATTAATATAATAATAATAAAAAAAAATTAACATAAATAATAATAAAAATATTAATATTATAATAATAAAAAAAAATTAACATAAATAATAATAAAAATATTAATATAAATAATACTAAAAATATTTAATATTATTATTACTTATTAGAAAAGAATTCCATTTATTTATAATAAACAAAAAAAATGAATAATTATGTTAAATAAGCAATAAACAAATTAATTAAATATAAAATTACAATTTTTTTTCATATTCAAAAACAAATAATTTAAAACAAATTTTTTCAATTCATTTTAATGCATCTGTCATATTTTAAAAAGATTTATTGCTCGTTAAATTTTTGTTACATTACGTAAGTTAAATGTTTTTCTTTTTTCTCTCCTTCTTCTTCTTTTTCTTCTTTTATCTTCTATTTGTCACAAAAGGCAAACAAAAAAGAATGAAGAAAATATTCAGAAAAATTTATTCTGTCACGAATATTTATTATTATTATTATTTTTTACATTCTCATTTTATAAAAGAAGAGCAAGAAAAAAAGAGGAAGCTATTGTAAAATTTACCAAATGAATTTTAAAATCATAAGTTAAAAAAGAAAAGATAAATGAAAATTTAATGCAAATATGTAAAGTTTTAATAAAGAAAATAATAGTTATTAATATTTAGAGACATAACACTGTGGATTTTTTTTTAACGAGGAGGAAAGTAATGAAAAGATAATTTTATTTACTGTTTGATAACAGGATCAACTAATTATCCAAATGATAATAATTTTCCGAAAAGATTAATTTCCACTACTTACTATTTTCAATTATAATCATTAATGCGTCTAATAGTAATAATAATAATAATAATAATAATAATAATAATAATAATAATAATAATAATAATAATAATAATAATAATAATAATAATAATAATAATAATAATAATAATAATAATAATAATAATAATAATAATAATAATAATAATAATTTAATAATAATTGTCTCGTTTATATTGAAATAAATAAGTGAATAAATAAGCAAATAAATATTTAAATAAATTAATTAATAAATAAATGAATAATAAAAATAGTAATAATAAGAAAACAGTAAAAAAATTAAAATAATTAACAGTAAAATAATAATAATAATAATAATAATAATAATAATAATAATAATAATAATAATAATAATAATAGTAAAATGATACGTTTTGATTTGAACAGCATTAAATTAATAAAATATTAACAAATTGTTATAAAAAAAAAAATTTCCAACGTTCGGAATAAAGTTAATAGAGAACATTCACTTTAACCCATTTCCGAAGGCTTGTCAATTATTATCGTCCCTAGAATCTCTTATTTTCTATAGCATTGAAAAAAAAACCATAAAAAAAAAGAAAAAAAAACCAACCTAGTAATTTATTTCTCGCAAATTAATAATACACTATTTATCTCACTCTTTTTTTCTATTATCACACACACAACAGGACTTTTTTTTCTTAACCACCAATAATTTTAAAAAATACTTTTGTTAAACAAAATTCTTCTACAAAAATTTGCATTTATTTAAAAATATTATTTTTAGCTAACACTTTTATTATTATTATTATTATTATTATTATTATTATTTTATTTTAAAAATTTAATAATAATATTATTATTATTTATAATTGAGCTAATTTAGTTAATGAATTTTGTATTATTTTTTTATGATTATTTATATTTTTATTGATTACTTACAAAGATTGGAAGCGAATTTCAATAATTGATAGTCAGTATCGTATTAAAAGAAATTAAAAAAAGGTTATTAAACCAATTGGAAGCAAAATATTTAAAATAAGTTGTTATAAATTGGAATGAAAACCAGTTGGAAGCAAAATTTTTTGCTGATAAAAACCAATTGGAAGCAAAATACTATTAGAAAGTAATTGCATATTGCGATTAGAACCAGTTGGAAGCAAAAAAATTTGCTTCCAACTGGTTTTTTTCCAATTGGTTTTTATCAGCAACAAATTTTGCTTCCAACTGGTTTTTTCAATTGGTTTTTATCAGCAAGAAATTTTGCTTCCAACTGGTTTTTTTCAATTGGTTTTTATCAGCAACAAATTTTGCTTCCAACTGGTTTTTTCAATTGGTTTTTATCAGCAATAAATTTTGCTTCCAACTGGTTTTTTCCCATTGGTTTTTATCCTACTTCGTCATTATTTATTGCTAGTATTTTGCTTCCAACTGGTATTAATTTCAAGTTAATATAAATTGGAAGTAAAACCAGTTGGAAGCAAAATACTACTAAAAAGTAATTACATATTGCGATTAGAACCAGTTGGAAGCAAAATTCTGACAATAAGATACTATAAAAAATAGTAATTAAAACCAGTTGGAAGCAACAAAAGTGAAATAAAATTTAATTGGAAGCAAAATAGCAGGAGAAAGTTGTAATAGACTTTAATTAAGGTCAGTTGGAAGCAAAATACTAACAAGACGTTACTAAAAATTGGAATTAAAACCAATTGGAAGCAATATATTTACAAAAAATAATTGGAAAAAAACAATTGAAAGCAAAATACTAGCAATCTTTAATAAATAGGAATTAAAACCAGTTGGAAGCAACAAAATTGGAATAAAATCTATTGGAAGAAAAATACATACAGGAAGTTGTAATAAATTGAAATTAAAGTAAGTTGGAAGCAAAAAGGAGGAATAAAACCTATTGAACGCAAAATATAAGAACAAAATGTAATGACAAAGCGGATTAATAACCAATTGGAAGCAAAACACTATTAGAAAGAAATGAATAATTTTATTTAAAACCAGTTGGAAGCAATAAAATTTCAAAATTAAATGGCAAATTAGTATAAAATCCAATTGTAAAGAAAATACTAATAATAAGTTAATGACAGAGCAGAATAAAAACCAATTGGAAGCAAAAAACACTAACAGGAAGTTATTACAAATTGGAATTAAAACCAATTGGAAGCAAAATACTAACAAAAAAGTATTACAAATTGAAATGAAAAACAGTTGGAAGCAAAATACTAATAATAAGTTAATGACAGAGCAGAATAAAAACCAATTGGAAGCAAAATACTACAAGGAAGTTATTGCAAATTACAATTAAGACCAGTTGGAAGCAAAATAGTTACAAAATGAAATGGATTGAAAATTAATATAAAATCCAATTGGAAGCAAAATACTAACAAAATTAATGGGAAATCGGAATAAAAACCAGTTGGAAGCAAAATAGTTGCAAAATTAAATGGCAAATTAGTATAAAATCCAATTGGAGGTAAAATACTATCAAAAAGTTAATGACAGACCAGAATAAAAACCAATTGAAAGCAAAATACTAACAAAAATAATGTCAAACCGGAATAAAAACCAATTGGAAGCAAATTTGAATTCAAAGAAAGTAAGCAACTGCCAATTGGAAGCAAATACAAAAATTGAAATCGAAAAATTGTAATTTAAAACCTTTGGAAGCAAATATTTGGAAGTAAAATTTTAATTTTAAATTATAAATTAATTTTTAATATTAATTATATATAAATTAAATTAAAATAAATATTTTTTTCATGACTTGGCAGAATGAATGAAACAAAAAAGAAACTGAAATAAAATGCAGACAAATGTGTTAGTGACGTCATTATTGATACCAGGACGTCTGTAGTGATTTAGTTCGATAAGAACGTGTATATGGTATAATGTAAGGCAATATTCGAAAACATAAAAATATAGACACGTCATTTTGCAAACCTCCTATTGTTATTGTGTAGAATTGAATATAGATGGAAAATTATATTGTCTTTTTTTTACAATTTTTATCGTATACGTGACTCTCTAAACCCCACAGTCTCAGCAATAATTTGCCAACTTCATTTATTATTATATAGTTTTACACTTAAAAAATATCGTGAAAGGCAAATTCAAATAGATATTGAAAATATCTCTCTTTCTCTCTCCCTCTCTCTCGAAAAACACAAATTATTATTCGCACGATCTTTAACTTTCCATCTCGGCTATAAATTTTGTATTCCTCTTATATTTTCAGAATATTTTCAACTTTTCTTTTATTCAACTTAGTTTGTTTATTTTTATTTATTGCTTTCTTTATTTTGGATTATTTATTATTTTTATTTTTCTCCTTTGAATTTAAATAATAAATATAAAAAAAAATTATTTTCGTTCACTTATAATTATTTATTATTTTTATTTTATTCATTTAGATTTAAATAATAATAAAAAAATGATTTTTTTTCTGTACTTTTATTTTTTTATTTGGAACTTTATTTCTTTATTATTGTTACTATTTTCTTTATTTAAATTTAAATAATAAATATAAAAACAAATACAAAATTACTTTAATTTATTTATTAAAATTTATTACTATTTTTATTTTATTCATTTAAATTTAAATAATATTTATTTTTTAACATTGTTACTATTTTATTTATTTTAAATTCAAATAATAAATAAAAAAAACAATTTTTTAAAATTCCTCAAGTTTATTTTAGTATTATTTTTTTATTTATTTAAATTTAAATAGTAAAAATAAAAAGTAATTATTTTGGTTAATTCATTTATTTTTTATCATTGTTACTATTTTATTTATTTAAATTCAAATAATAAAAAAAAGAATTTTTTAAAAATTTTAATTTTTAATTAAATTTAAATGTAATAGTTTGTTAATTATTTTATTATTTTTATTTTATTTATTTAAATTTAAATAATAAATTGGAATTTTTTTTTAATTCATTTAGTTTATTGATTTTTTTTATTATTTTTATTTTATTTATTTAAATTTAAATAATAAATAGAATTTTTTTTTAATTTATTTAGTTTATTGATTTTTTTTATTATTTTTATTTAATTTATTTAAATTTAAATAGTAAGGAGAAAAAAAAAAGATTCAGAGTCAATAGAAAATTTACGATTCGCGAATAAATAAAAAAAAATTTTTTTCTCCTTCAACAAACATGCAATTTGAACAACGAAGAACAAAACTCCACTCCATAATTAATTCTAAAGTCCTCTACAAAAATAATAATTAACTTCAATATCGTAAATTTAAGTCAATCGTAAATTTTTCAATCCGTATCGTTTCAATACTAAAAAGTAAAAATAAAATAAAATTCTTTAATAAAATAAATATTAAATACAAGTTTTCATTACAAAAAAAAAATGAAAATTATATTCTACATCTAAGGAAAAAAATTATTATTTACCATCAAGCAAGAAATTTTTTTTATTTTTATCTAGAATATTTTTCTATATATATACTGTATAAAATATATAAAATGATAATTTCTATTATATAATTGAGTTACAAACTTATTTATAAGTCAATAATTCTAGTAATAATACTTGGAAAAGTTAAAAAAAAAAAAATTGAAATTTTTAAAGATTTGAAACATTTTTTTAAATGTTCTAATCAAAATTTCCACGTTAAAAATTTATTAATGTTTGATTTTGAACGAAAAGTATTTTTGAAGTGAAAGTATTTTTGAACTAACAATATTTTTGAGTCGATAGTATTTTTGTACGAAAAGTATTTTTGAACCGAAAGTATTTTTGTTCGAAACTTTTTTGAACGGAAAGTATTTTTGAAATAACCCATATTTTTGTACCAAAAGTATTTTTCTACAAAAAGTATTTTTAAAACAAAACTAAAAGTATTTTTGAACCGAAAGTATTTTTGTACGAAAAAGTATTTTTTATTCGTAAGTATTTTTGGTCGAAAAGTACTTTTAAAACAAAAACATTTTTCAATAGAAAGAACTTTTCGTGCAAAAGTATTTTTGTAAAGAAAGTATTTTTGTACGAGAAGCATTTTTGAATGAAACATGTTTTTGAATCGAAAGTATTTTTGTACGAAACATTTTTGAACGGAAAGTATTTTTCGAATAACAGTATTTTTAAACCAAAAGTATTTTTCTACAAAAAGTATTTTTAAAACAAAACTAAAAGTATTTTTGAACCGAAAGTATTTTTGTACAAAATAAAGTATTTTTTATTCGTAAATATTTTTGAACGAAAAATACTTTCGAACATTTTTGAACAGAAAGTATTTTCGTTCGAAAAGTATTTTAGAAAGAAATGTATTTTTTGTAGAAAAAAGTATTGTGTTCTTCAAAGTTCTAAGTTCTTCAAACTTTTAAATCAAAAATACTTTTCAAAATAAAAAATCTTAGCAGAAATATTTTTCATGAAAAAAACGATAGAAAATAAAAAGTAATTTTTTACAATTGACCGAAGATTAAAAATATTTTCTTAAAATATAATAAAAATTACAGAAAGAAAAAAAAACACTTTTTATGAGAAAAATGATTAAGAAAAAAATTAAAAACTCACCTCAACGAATAAGGATCCATGACTGATTAATTGAGGGACAGGGGAAAGCAATTAATGAAATGCCTCGTCCCACCTTTGATTAGACAGACGATAAATTAAATTAATTAAATAAATGGTTTCTCCTAAAACTTCCCCTCGTCAGCTCTGTCGCCAATTTCGATTTTGTATCGCCATTCTGTGATCCCTGAAAAACAAAAAGAGACACAAAATCAATATTATTTCTTTCAATATTAATTATTATTAAACAAAAACAAAAAAAATAGGGACAATATTTTTTTTTTATTTTTTTTTACTAAGAGGACGATATAATTACTTCCAATTGAAATCGAATACAAATTGTAAGTATTTACATATAAACTGGACTTGAATAATTTTGGAAGCAAATACCAATTGGAAGCAAGTGGAAAACTCAAGTAATAACCAATTGGAAGCAAAGTGTTAACAAGAAGTAAATACAAATTGGAATTAAAATCAGTTGGAAGCAAAGTACTAATGGAAAGCAATGACAAATCGAAATTAAACTTAATTGGAAGCAAAATACTGACAGAAAGTAATTGAAAAGCTAAATTAAAACCAATTGGAAGCAAAATATTAACAGAAAGTATTGATAAATTTAAATTAACACCAATTGGAGGCAAAATGCTAACAAGAGATAATTACAATTTGAAATTAAAACCAATTGGAAGCAAAATACTAAAAAGAATCAATAATAAATTGTAATTAAAAACAATTGGATATACATAACAACGAGAAGTAATTACAAATTGGAATTAAACTTAATTGTAAGCAAAATACTAACAAAAAGTAATGGAAAAGCTAAATTAAAACCAATTGGAAGCAAAATACTAACAAAAATTAATATCAAATCGAAATAAAAACCAATTGGAAGCAAAGTAGTAACAGAAAGTAGCAAATAGAAATTATAACCAATTGGAAGCAAAATACTAGCAGAAGGTTACTACGAATTGTAATTAAAACCAGTTGGAAGTAAAATATTAACAAGAGATAATTACAATTTGAAATTAAAACCAATTGGAAGCAAAACCAAAAAAAAATTATAAAAAGCAATTAAAAACATTTGGATAAAAATAACAAGAGGTAATTACAAATTGTAATGAAAACCAATTGGAAGCAAAATAATGATAAAAAAAAAATAATTATAAATTGAAATGAAAAACAGTTCAATGCAAAAATACTAACAAAAAGTGATATTAAATTAGAATGAAAGTCAATTGGCTTCAAAAGACTAACAGAAAGTAATTAAAAATTGGAATTAAAACCAGTTGGAAGCAAAATAGTTACAAAATAAACTGACAAATATTAGTATAAGAGCCAATTGATAGCAAAATAATTAAAAAAAAATTAATGGCAAACTGGATTAAAAACCAATTGGAAGCAAAATACTAACAAAAAGATATAAGTTGGAATTCAAACCAGTTGGAAGTAAAAAGGGGATAAAAAACATTTGTAAGATATATAATAAAAACGTATTAATGAATAGAAATAAAAACCAATTGGAAGCAAAATACTAACAATAATTAATGTCAAATCGTAAAAAAACCAATTGGAAGCAATTAACAATTGAAAATAAATACCAGCTGAAGGCAATAAATATTAATTTAAAATAAAATAAATTATTAAAATAAAACTACGTGGAAGCAAATACCAACTGGAAGCAATTATAAATTGTAATCAAAACCAATTGGAAGCAAACACGAAATGGAACTGAAATTACCAATTTATAAAGCAAATTTCAAATAAATATTTATTTTTAATATGCTAATAATAATTTTTAATTCATTAATATAAATTTACTTAATTAATTACCAGGAAAATTATTTTAATTTTATTAATTAATTGATTTAAAATATTTTTTATTTTACAAAAAATCCAATGCTTTATATCTTTTTATATTAAAAAATATTTAATTAATAATTGGAAAAATATTTTTTTTTATATTCAAAATGTCATTAAAAATTATTTGAAAATCAGTGGAAAATTTTGCATTATTATTCACTAGAGAATATTGTTATAATCAATAAATGATTTTTGTTAAATTAATTGAGACAATTTAATTTGCCCTCGATTATCGAAGTTTTTGATGATTAACATTGAACAAGTTCAATGTCAAGATAAATTATATCAGATTAAAATTATTCTTCTATATAGCTATATATACTATATGTATATATCACGACATTTAACTTGAGGGGAAAATTATTGCTAATCAGATGTTTGCAAAATGACATTATTTAGTGCTAATTGCTCATAATTTATCAGAAATAGTTTTATTAATTCTTTGCAAAAAATTCGACTCCTCTTTTTGTTGCAAAAAAAATTTAGAGAAAAAATTAGAGATTTTTCAAGAAACATAAAAGAAAAGAACAAAATTTACATTTTTTTATTCTAAAAAATTTTTTTATAAAATTGTTTTTCTTACAAAAAAAAATATTTTTTTGTTTATAAAAATTAATTAATAATTTTTTATTAACTATAAAAATAAATTTATAAAATTGTTTTTCTTACTAAAAAAATATTGTTTTTCTTACTAAAAATTGATTAATTAAATTTTTTTACTAAACAAGTAACTTAAAAAATTGTTTTTCTTACTAAAAAAAATATTGTTTTTGTTAATAAAAATTAATGAATAACATTTTTTTTTACTAAAAGAATAATTTATAATATTGTTTCTTTACTGAAAAAAGTAATTGATTAAATTGTTTATATTTTACGAAAAAAAATTATTTATATAATTGTTATTTTGTTAATAAAATATAATTTACAAAACTGTTTTTGTCATTAAAAAAATAACTTAAATAATTTTTAAAAAGAATTTATAACATTGTATGTAAAAATTTTTTTAAATTGTTTAAAATTTGGTTATTAATTATTATTTAATTAACTAATTGGAATTCATTAGTAATTATTATTAATTTTTTAATTAACTAACTGTTATTAATTAAAAAAAAATTTAATGTTTTTTAATTAAAAAAATTAATAAAAATCTGTTTTTATAATTAAAAAAATAATTAATAATTTTTTTTAATTAAAAAAATATTTTTAAATTGTTTTTTAATTATAAAAATTTTTTACATTTTTTGAAATAAAAAATTAATTTACAAACTTGTTTTTTTTTCATAATTTCTTGAGGGAAATAGAAAGCAATACAGAACACGTAAACAAGAGGCGCCTGTGGTATTGACTTTTTTGCTTTTTCGTCTATGGTCCATGGGTGGTAGACAATTTAATTTCCCTCACAATTATTATTTACTTTTAATTAAAACAAACAAGCAAATAAAATTTGCTCACCAATTCTAATTCATTAAAATGGAAATTAATTAATAAAAATTACTCAAAAAGAAAAAAAAACTCACCTAAATTTAATTGTTGAAAAAAGCAAGGAAAATTTACAATAAATTTCAATAATAAACAATTGTAAATTTTAACCAAAAACCAATTCGAAGCAAATACCAACTGGAAGTAGTTTACAATTTAAAACGATTTAAGAAAGAAAATAAAAAAAATTTAATACAAATTTCAATAATAAGTAAATGTAAATTTTAATCAGTACCAATTGGAAGCAAATACCAACTGGATGTAGTTTACAATTTAAAACGAATTAAGGAAGTAATCAAGAAAATTGAAAACAAATTTCAATAATGCCATATGCAAATTTTAATCAGTACCAATTGGAAGCAAATAACAATTGTCAACAATTGGAAATTGAAAATCGAAACCAATTGTAAGCAAATAATAACTGGCAGCGATTAAAAATTGTAAATCGAAATCAATTGGAAGCAAATAACAATTGGTAGTAACTGAAAATTGAATATCGAAACCAATTGGAAGCAAATAACAACTGGCAGCAACTAAAAATTAAAAATCAAAACCAATTGGAAGCAAATAACAACTGACAGCAACTAAAAATTGAAAATCGAAACCAATTGGAAGCAAATGCCAACTAGAAGCAGTTTACAATTAAAAATAAATAAAAAATATTAAAGCAAACAACTGGAAGCAATTAAAAATTTTAAATCAAAATCAACTGGAAGCAAATAAAATAATTAGTATTTGCTTACAATTGGTGTTTTAATACAAATACCAGTTGGAAGCAAATAACTGAATACAAATACCAATTGGAAGTAAATATTAATTGAATACAAATAACAATTTTTAGCAAATAATAACTGTATACAAATACCAATTGGAAGCAAATATTAACTGAATACAAAAATTAATTATAAGTAAATAATAACTGAATATAAATACTAATTGGAAGCAAATAATAATTGAATACGAATATAAATTATAGACAAATAACTGAATACAAATACCAATTGGAAGCAAATAGTGGCTGAATAGAAATATCAATTATAAGCGAATAAAATAATTAGTATTTGCTTACAATTGGTGTTTTAATACAAATACCAATTGGAAGCAAATAGCTGAATACAAATTCCAATTGGAAGTAAATAATAACTGAATAAAGCTTCCAATTGGAAGCAAAAAATAATAACCGAATATAAATACCATAATTAGAAGTGAAAACCAAATATAAAAATTGAATAACAATTGGAAGTAAATATCGTACAAAAATTTGATACCAATTGGAAGCAAATCAATTGGTATTTAAATACCAATTAATGAAATTAATTTTATTTTACTCAATCAAAAAAATTACCTAAAACTAAAATTTCTGTATTAATTATAAATTTTTCCTACTAAGAAAAAACACCGGAAGTAAATATTTAACTATTAATATCTGCTTTTATTTCTATTTACAACTTTGAGAGGAAGTTCAAAAATAAAAAGATCAAAAAAGGAAAATTTGCGTTAAATTTTAAAGGTAAAACACTTTTAAAAAAATATATATAATACGAGGATAAAAAATTATGTCAATAAGAAGTTGTGCTCTAATTATTAAAAAAAGAATTCGTTTTTTGTGCGTGTGCGTTAAATGAAAAATGTAAGAGGAAAAAAAAATAGTTTTGTAAATTATGAAAAAAAAATTGTATAACATTTTTTTTATATAAAATTGAATAACATTTTTTTTTTTTTTTATAAAATTGCATAACATTTTTTTTTATTAAAATTAAGAAAGACTCCTTTTCAAATAAAAAATATAAAAATATAAAAAAATATTTTTAAAAAATATAAAATTTATATAAAATTTTTGCTATTCAGAAAGAGCACGTCATTGGTCCTTCGAATAAAATAGTCATTTTCAATTGGAAAACAAACTTGGTATTTTTGGATTCATTCCCAAGGCTCAAGAACCTCTTGATTATTTAAATCATCAAAGAGCAAGTAACAAATTATCGTTTTTCAATTATATTAAAATTCTAATTTCATTATTTTTCGAATAAATTTTAATTAATAAATTAATTAATTTTAAATTAAATAAATACAATACAACAATTAAAAAAATTAGTAAATAAATTAATAAAATAATTTTTCCAAAGTTATTATTTTATAAAACAATACTTAATGATAATAAAAACAATAATAAAAATAATAATAATAATAATGAAAAATATTATTTTTATTTATTTATATATTTAGTATAAATTATTAAATAAAATTATTATTACTAAATTATTATTTAGTACAATAATAATAAAAATAATAATGATTATTAATAATTACTTTTATAATAATATAATAATTATTATAATAAAAAAATTTTTTAATGAAATTAATAAAAAAATAAAGAAAGAAATAATTAAAATAAATAAAATTCTGTTTCACGTCTTTTGTTAATAATGCAAAAAAAGAAAAAAACAATTTAATTTATTTTTTCTAATTCGGTTAAAAATTAAATTTCAACTATATGACAATTTATTATTAAAACACTTGTCATAGCACAATAGCACAATTTGTTTTTAAATCGATTTACGTTACAAAAGTTTAAAGTCGAATGTTAAGATCAGGGACAGAGTTGGCGTAATCGAGAGAGCTTGTCAAAATAGAACAAAAATTTCACATTCGCATATACCTATATATATACACATATTGCACTACAAAATTCAAAATATTTTTTACACAAAGAAAATTTGTCAAATTTTTTCTTCCTATTAAAAGTACTCTTTTTTTAAGTAAAAAGTATTATTCGAGTAAAGTGTATTTGTGCAAAAAAATATTTATTTTTTATAATTATTAATTAATAATCATTTTTAGTGTGAAAAGTATTTTTTGGAAAACAAATTACTTTCACCAAAAAAAGGTATATTTTTGTATTTCGAAATTTTCTAGTAGAAAAATACCTTTCAGAATAAAGAATTTTCAGTAAAAAAGAACAAGAAAAAAAATTACTATCAACAAAAAGGTATATTTTTCTAATTCAAACATTGTTTTTAGAAAAAGTATTTTTGAGTAAAAAGTTATTATCAACAACGAAAAAGGTATTTTAATAATTTTAAATTCCTGTTTAGCAAAAGTATTTTTGAGTAAAAAATTACTTTCAACGAACTAGGTAATTTTTAATCTAAATGATGTTTTCATTAAAAAGTATTTGAGTGAAAAAGTATTTTTTGAATATAAAGAACTTGTTAAGTTAAAAAGTACGTTTTTAATAAAAAGTATTTTTTTATTTAATTAATATTTATATTAAGTATTTTTGGAGTAAAAAGTATTTTTTGAATAAAAAATATTTATAATACCTAAGTATTTTTGGAGTAAAAAGTATTTTTTTGAATAAAAAATATTTATAATACCTAAGTATTTTTGGAGTAAAAAGTATTTTTTTGAATAAAAAATATTTATAATTAAATAAATATTTTGAAGAAAAAGTATTTTTTGAGTAAAAAAAAATATTTATAATTAATAAGTATTTTTTTTAGTAAAAAAATTACTTTCAACAAAAAAAGTATATTTTGGAAACTAAAAATTGTTTTCAGTAAAAGTATTTTTGAGTAAAAAGTTACTTTCCATGGAAAACGTATTTTTGGCTTAAAAATTACTTTTTATCAAAAGTATTTTTGAGTGAAAAATTACTCTCAACAAAATAGGTAATTTTAATAATCGAAAAATTCTAGTCAGTAAAAGTATTTTTTACTTTTTTTTAAGGAAAGTATTTTTGAGAAAAAAATTACTTTCAACAAAAAATGAATATTTTTGAAACCAAAAAAATTTACTTTCCGAAACGAAAAAGGTAAAATTTAAAAATATCACTTTGCCAAAAGTATTTTTGAGTCAAAAGTTAATTTTTGGGCAAAAACAAAAAAGGTATTTTTATCTCCAAAAATTACACTTTGCCAAAAGTACTTTCGAGTCAAAAGTAATTTTTTGAAATAAGATATTTTTGAACTTTAAAAATTACTCTTTGTCTAAAAGTATTTATCAACTTCAAAAATTACTTTACCAAAAGTATTTTTGAGTAAAAAATTAACGAAAAATGTATTTTTGAAATTCAAAAATGACTCTTGACTAAAAGTATTTTTGAGTAAAAATTTAATTTTCAGCAATAACGAAAAAAAGGTATTTTTGAACTCTCAAAATTACTGTTTGCTAAAAATACTTTTGAGTAAAAAATTACTTTTACGCAATAGCAAAAACGATATTTTTGTAAATTTAAAATTACATTAATTAACGAAAATATTTTTAAGAATAAAAAAATCAATTTTTTTGTAATAATCGTAATAAAAAGTATTTTTTAACTTTAAAAATTAGTTTTAAAAAAGTATTTTTTAACTTTAAAAATTAGTTTTAAAAAAGTATTTTTGAATAAAAATTAGTTTTTCCAATTTTTTATTAGTAATTTTGAACCATAAAAATTACATTTAGCCAAAAGTTTATTTTTGAGTAAAAAAAAAATTTTTCTCACAATAACAAAAAAGTATTTTTGAACTTTAAAAATTACTTTCATAAAAAAAATTATTTTAAATTGTAGGTTGTGATATTTTGCAGAAAAAAACAAAAATTAAAAATTACTTCTAATTTTTCGAAACGAAAAATTCCAAAACAAATGGAAAATTATATTTTTAAATTATTTCCATATTGTTAGAAAAACAAAACACGAAAAGAATACAGAGACCAAAATAAAAATTGTCTAGAAAACTTATTTAAGTATTTTTTTTTTTTGCTTTGTTATGCACATCTATATAGCCAAGAATAATTCTTCGTTATGAAATCATGTCGTGTAACTTCTTTAAAAGAAAAAAAAATATTTTCTTCATCCAAAATTACTTAATGTTTATAAAAAAAAATATTGCTACTTACAAAAATAAATACACTTTTTCATTAATAAACACTTTTTTACAATACAAACTACTCCAACAAATGTTGTTAATATTTTTTTTTAAATGTAATTAATTAATTTATTTATAATTGAAGACAAAGGAAACCAATTTGTGAACTTTTTAAAAAAAGAAACCAAGAAAATTATAATTATAATTTCAAAATGAATTTATAAAAAATGAAATTTTTTCAAAAAAAAAAAATTATTATTAAAACAAAATATTAAAAGAAAAATATTCAATCGTATAAATATTTTTAAAAAATTATAATATTTTTCATAATAATTATTATTTATTATTATTATTTTTTTGAATGTATTTGATTTATTTGAAATATTTATTTTGAACTTTATTTTTGATATTTTTTCTTAAATAATTATTATTATAATAATATATTATATTAGAGAATTATAAAATTATTATTGTTATAACATGATGATAATATAACTTTGCACTTTTGATGCGAAAGGGTTTATTGAAACCTTTAATTAATAAATAAATAAATTATAATTATTATTACAACATATTATTAAAATAACATTATAATTATAATTATAATAGTGTGCATTTTTTATTTAGTAAAAAAATTTATTGATTTATAATAAAAATTATTATTATTATAAAAGTTAATAATAATAATTATTATTGTTAGACAATTACAATACAAAAAAATAAAAATGTTAATTTTTTTGAAGAAAAACAAGAAAATAATTTTTTAAAATAAATTTTACAAATTTTCCCTCCTTGTAAACAATTATATTATTAAATTAAATTATTGTCGAAAATAATAATTTTATAAATATTAAGAAAAACTTATAATATTAATTTTTATAGAAATTATCATTTATTACACTAATAAAAATTTAGTATTACAATAATTATTATAATATTAATTTTCACTATAATTGTTATTACAATATTATTATTATGATTACAACGAAAAATTTAAAAAAAAACAAAATGTTTATTTTTTGAAAAAAAAATCACAAAAAATATTTAAAATAAATTTTTGCTTCTCGTAAACAATTATATTATTAAATCAAATTATTGTTAAAAATAATAATATTGTATAAATATTTAGAAAAACTTATATTAATTATATTAATTATCATTTATGACAGTAATTTGAAAATTTAATAAAATATAAATTATTACAATATTAATATTCACTATAATTTTTTTACAATTTTTATAACTATTAATATTATAATTACCACGAGAAAATAAATTTCAAAAATAAAAATTTAGAAAAATAAAAATATTTTTCTTTCGATTACTATTATGATTAAAATTACTCTAAAAAAATAATTATCGAAAATAAAAATTTGAAAAAATTGTCTATTTAAATTAATACTATTATCAATATTATTATTAATTTTATTAATATTATTACATTTATTATTTTTAATATTATCATCATCACTGTTATAACTACTTAAAAAAAAATATTTGCCAAAAAGAAAAATTGCAAAAAATAAGAAAAATATTTTGTTTTTAAAAAATAGAAATAAAATTTTAAGGTTCAAAGCTCAACGACCCAATGACCTACCTTAATATTTATATATCTATGTACAAATAGAGACAAAGTGTCTGTGTGTGTAATAATTGAAATCGAAAATCAATTCAAAAGAGTGCAAGAGAACAGATTTTTCGACTCCTCGAGTTTACAAAACGTAACTATCTATCTATATATATATGTATATATATGTAAAAAAAAAGTGAAGAAGAACCTGAGAGTCGATGTGAACTACTTGAGAAAAGGATGACGACTGATTCTTGTAGGCGAGGGAGCGAGTAGGACAGAGGGCAAGGATTATGCGCGAAGGAGCCGCGTGAGTTAGTGAGTGCGAGTGAGAGTGAGACGACGAAAGAAAGAAAGAAAGAGACAAAGAAAGGGAAAATAGGGGCAGGAATGGTGGTGGGGGGTTTGTGTTAGGTGTATAGGTGAACACAGCGAAAAATGGGGAGAAAAAATATGCACCTATAAAGACTAGAATTTAACTTTGAAAAACATAAAAAAAAACTTTCTTTGTGCACGCATTTTGGTTCCTTTTTTTTTCTTGTCATGATGATGATGCTAAAAATATTATTTCCTTATTTTACCCCCAAAAAGCAAAAAAAAAGAAAAAATAGAAAAGAAAAATATACAACAGCAGAAAGAAGGATGAATAATATTTCCTTTCTCTCGTCACATTCGACATACGACTGACTGTCAGTCAGTCACACTGCGAGACTATAACAATTGCGTCAGACGTTAGGGGGAAAACTAAACAGCTGATCACTTCGTGCTTACACATAAACACACAGACACACACAGAGACACTCTATTCGTGTTTCAAGCAAAAACTAACAATATTCTTTTTTTTTATTGTTCGGCAATAAAAATGGGACTGTTTTTCGAGAAAAGAATAAATTAAATAGATTTTTTTTTATTAAATTTTTATAGTTTTCGAAAAAAAGAGTATTTTTTAGCTTATGAAATGGTATTAGGAGGAGAAAGTAATTTTTGAGGGCACAATACACTTCTTTTTGAAGAAAGACATTTTTGGTACAAAGAAATGTTGAGGAGATAAATATTTAAGTATAAAAAGTATTTTAGTATTGTGGATAAACTAAGTATTTTCAAGAAAGTATTTTTGTATGTGCAAAAATACATTTTAAATTTTTTTGAGTAAAATATAAAAAATTTAGAGTATTTTTTCTATACTTTGTTGGAATAAAGTATTTTTTTTTGACAGAAGTTCTCATCAAAATAAAGTATTTTTAAGTAGAAAATACATTTCGGGGTTAAGATATTTTTAGTAAAAATACTTTTTAATATAAAGTATTTTTAATAAAAAGTACTTTTCGGGATAAGGTATTTTTAGTACAAAAATATTTTTCGGGATAAAGTATTTTTTAGAAAAAAGTACTTTTAGGGATAAAGTATTTTAGTACAAAAATACGTTTCAATGTAAAGTATTTTTAGTATAAAAATACTTTTCAATACAAAGTATTTTTAGTAAAAAGTACTTTTCGGGATGAAGTACTTTTAGTACAAAAATATTTTTCTTGTACGAATCGTATTTTTAAATAAAAAAGTATTTTTGAATAAAAGGTATTTTTGTACGAAAAGTATTTTTGTAGGAAGCGAATTTTTATATAAAAAGTATTTTTGTAGGAAACATATTACTGTACAGGTATTTTTATAAAAGGTATTTTTGTACGAAACGTTTTTGTATACAAAAAGTATTTTTGTACGAAACGTAGTTTTATATGAAAAGTATTTTTGTGGGAATCGTATTTCTGCAAAATAGTATTTTTTAAAAAAAGGATTTTTGTACAAAAGTTAATTTTGTACAAAAGGTATTTTTGTTCAAAAGTATTTTTGTAGGAAATTAAATTTTATTCTAAACGTATTTTTATACAAAAAGTATTTTCGTAGGAAACGAATTCGTGTACCGAACGTATTTCTTAACAAAAAGTATTTTTATAAAAGGTATTTTTGTAGGAAACGAATTCTTGTACGAAACGTATTTCCAAACAAAAAGTATTTTTGAATAAAAGATTTTTTTGTACGAAAAGTATTTTTATACAGAAAGTATTTTTGTAGGAATAGTATTTCTGTAAAAAAGTATTTTTTTATACAATGTATTTTTGTACAAAATGTATTTTTGTAGGAAACGTATTTATATAAATGAATAAATAAATATTTAATAAACGTCTGAAACACATTATCTTATTACTTTATCCCGAAAAGTATTTTTTACTAAAAATACTTTATCACGAAAGTATTTTTTACTAAAAATACTTTATATTGGAAAGTATTTTTGTACTAAAAATTCTTTTTGTTTAAAAGTATTTTTGTTCCAAAAATACTTTATCTAATACCTAAAAGTATTTTTGTACTAAAATACTTTTAGGGATAAAGTATTTTTGGAACAAAAATACTTTTAAACAAAAAGAATTTTTAGTACAAAAATACTTTTCAATATAAAGTATTTTTAGTAAAAAATACTTTTCGGGATAAAGTATTTTAGTACAAAAAATACTTTACAATATAAAGTATTTTTAGTAAAAGTAACATAATAAAGAATTTTTTAGACAAAAATACCTTTGCGAATAAAGAACTTTAAGAACAAAAATACTTTTTATACTAAAGTATTTTTTAGTAAAAAGGATAATAAAAAATATAATACAGCATTTTTAGTGCAAAAATACTTTTCAGAATAAAATATTTTTAGTAAAAATGAATTTTTTTAATTGATTTTTTATTAAATTTTTATTTTTTTTGTAAAAAAGACTATTTTTTAGCTTATGAAATAGTATTAGGAGGAGAAAATAATTTTTGGGGGCCTAATACACTTTTTTTTGAAAAAAGACATTTTTGGTACAAAGAAATATTGTGTAAAGAAATATTTAAGTGCAAAAGGTATTTTAGTATTGTGGATAAACTAATTTTAAAAAAAAAAGTAATTTTGTAGAGAGAGAAATACTTTTTAGATTTTTTTTGAGTGAAATTAAAATTAAATTACTGTAATTAAAATTACAGTATTTTTTCTATAATTTTTTGAAATAAAGTATTTTTTTGGACAAAAGTTCTTATCAAAAATAAGTATTTTTAGTAGAAAATACTTTTCGGGATTAAGATATTTTTTGTAAAAAATACTTTTCGGGAATAAGATATTTTTAGTAAAAATACTTTTCAATATAAAGTATTTTTAATAAAAATAACATCATAATAAAGAATTTTTTGTACAAAAATACCTCAGGTGAATAAAGTACTTTAAGAACGAAAATACTTTTTATACTAAAGTATTTTTAGTAAAAAGAATAGTGAAAAAATAGAATACAGCATTTTTAGTGCAAAAATACTTTTCAGAAGAAAGTATTTTTAGTAAAAAAGAATTAATTTAATAGATTTTTTATTACATTTTTTTATTTTTCGAAAAAAGAGTATTTTCTAGATTCTGAAATAGTAACAGGAGGAGAAAGTAATTTTTGAGGGCACAATACATTTTTTTGAAGAAAGACATTTTTATGGTACAAAAAAATATTCAAGTATAAAAAGTATTTTAGTATTGTGGAGAGGAGAAACTACCTTTTTTAAGAAAGTATTTTTTGTAGAGAAACAAATACTTTTTACAATTTGATTTCAGTATTTTTGAATGCAAAAAATTTTTTTAAAGTAAAATATTTTTTATACAAAAATACTTTTCATAATAAAGAAGGACTTTGAATAAAAAAGAAAATTTTTCAGGATAAATTATTTTCCAAAAATTAAATGTTATTTACGATTTTCCAGTTAAAAGTATTTTTCATTTTTCCACTATTCACTTGAAAGTATTTTTGAATGCAAAATATAATAGAATATTTTTGACTGTAAACTAAAATAATTATAGCTATAAAAAATTACTTATTACAACTAAAAAAAAGCAAAATATTTTATCTCTTTTATACTATTTTTTAAAAGTATTATTTAATTCAAAAATACTTTTCTTACTTTTTAGTCTGCAATTTTTTTAAAGTAATTTTTTGATAGAAAAGTATTTTTTAACTACAAATAATACCTTCTATATCGTAGACAGTAAGTAAAAAGAAGTATTTATTCATTAAGAAAATACCTTTAAATAAAAAGTATTTTTGAGTGAAGAGTATTTTTAAGCGAAAAGTATTTTTGAGTAAAAAGTATTTTTTTATTCAGCAGCATTTTTAAGTAAAAGTATTTTCAAATAAAAAGTATTTTTAAGCAAAAAGTATTTTTAAGCTAAAAAGTATTTCTAAGCTAAAAAAATTATTTTTGTGTAAAAAGAATTTTGAGTACTAATTATTTTTAAGTAAATAGTATTAAATAAAAAGTATTTTTGAGTGAAGAGTATTTTTAAGCGAAAAGTATTTTTGAGTAAAAAGTATTTTTTTATTCAGCAGCATTTTTAAGTAAAAGTATTTTCAAATAAAAGTATTTTTAAGCAAAAAGTATTTTTAAGCTAAAAAGTATTTCTAAGCTAAAAAAATTATTTTTGTGTAAAAAGAATTTTGAGTACTAATTATTTTTAAGTAAATAGTATTAAATAAAAAGTATTTTTGAGTGAAGAGTATTTTTAAGCGAAAAGTATTTTTGAGTAAAAAGTATTTTTTTATTCAGCAGCATTTTTAAGTAAAAGTATTTTCAAATAAAAAGTATTTTTAAGCAAAAAGTATTTTTAAGCTAAAAAGTATTTCTAAGCTAAAAAAATTATTTTTGTGTAAAAAGAATTTTGAGTACTAATTATTTTTAAGTAAATAGTATTAAATAAAAAGTATTTTTGAGTGAAGAGTATTTTTAAGCGAAAAGTATTTTTGAGTAAAAAGTATTTTTTTATTCAGCAGCATTTTTAAGTAAAAGTGTTTTCAAATAAAAAGTATTTTTAAGCAAAAAGTATTTTTAAGCTGAAAAGTATTTTTAAGCTAAAAAGTATTTCTAAGCTAAAAAAATTATTTTTGTGTAAAAAGTATTTTGAGTACTAATTATTTTTAAGTAAATAGTATTAAGCAGAAAGTATTTTTAAGCAAAAAGTATTATTATGCTAAAAGTATCTTTGATAAAAAATTATTTTTAAGTAAAAAAATATTTTCGAGTAAAAAAGTATTTTAAGTAAAATGTAGCTTTGAGTGAAAAGTATTTTTAAATGAAAACATTCTGGAGTACAAAAAATTTTTCAGGAATAAATATTTTTGAATCTAAAATACTTTACTCAAATGTATTTTTTTTCTAATCAATTATTTCTATACAATTAAATATTAAAATTATATTTAAAAAAATATGAAATTAATATTAAAATTATATATTAAAATACAATATTAATATAAAAATAATAATATTAACATATTTAATTAATGTTTAATAATTAATAATTCAAATTGCCATAATCCATAATATTTCACGAAAATAGAAACTATCATCGAAAAAATAAAATTTTTTAATTAAATAATCTTGGCGGAAAAAAATGCTCGATTTCTATTTTTGTAACTGTCAAGAATGCAGAGCGCGTGGAATATTCGAGATCTAAATTTTTTTATATTAGTATTATATCAGGTTCAATTGATCATTTAACCCTGTATACAAGTTTATAACACTGATCGTTTTAAATCGTCTCTAATTCGTCTAACTTTCCTTATTCTATATAGAAATTTTCGTCAACAATAGAATTAACAAAAAGAAATTAATGTTTCTTCATTTTATAAAAACGTATATTTTTATTTATTTTTTTTTGCTTTAAATTCTTCAATTTTAATTTAATTTTAATATTTTCAAAAAAAAATTTATTTTTTTCTGTCAATATTTAAAATTATTTATTTATCAAAACTGAAAACCAATTATTTTTATTCTAAATATTTAAAAATGTTTCTTTCAAAAATTCCCGCTATTGTCGATAAGGCAAATTATTCACTTATCTAAAAGGAATGCTTTATTTTAAACGTCAGAAAATATAAAAAAAATTTTTTTTAATAATATTGATAATATTAATACTGACGATAAAAAAATAAATAATAATAAAAATAGTAATAATTATTCAACTTCTAAATAAAAATTAATTAAATTTTTTTTTTTGTATACAATGTCTTATTGTAGAAAACGTATTTCTGTACAAAAAGTATTTTTTTATAACCATATTTTCGTACAAAAGGTATTTTTGTAGAAACCGTATTTTTAAACAAAAAATTTTTTAAATAAAAAGTATTTTTGTACGAAACGAATTCTTGCACGAAACGTATTTTTGAACAAAAAGTATTTTTGAATCAAATATATTTTTGTACGAAACGTATTTTTATACAAAAAGTATTTTTGTGGGAAGCGTATTTTTATATTAAAAGTACTTTTGAAGAAAACGTATTTCTGTAAAAAAAGTTTATTTTTATAAAAAATATTTTTGTACAAAAGGTATTTTTTTAGGAAACGTATTTTTAAACAAAAAATTTTTTTAATGAAAGGTATTTTTGTAGGAAACGAATTCTTGTACGAAACGTATTTTTGAACAAAAAGTATTTTTGAATCAAATATATTTTTGTACGAAACGTATTTTTATACAAAAAATATTTTTGTGGGAAGCGTATTTTTGTATAAAAAGTATTTTTGCAGCAAACGTATTGCTGTACAAAAAGTATTTTTTTTTTTATAAAAAACATTTTTGTGCATAGCGTATTTTTGTAGGAAACGAATTCTTGTACGAATCGTATTTTTAAACAAAAAAGTATTTTTGAATAAAAGGTATTTTTGTACGAAAAGTATTTTTATACAAAAAGTATTTTTGTAGGAAGCGAATTTTTATATAAAAAGTATTTTTGTAGGAAACATATTTCTGTACAGGTATTTTTATAAAAGGTATTTTTGTACGAAACGTTTTTGTATACAAAAAGTATTTTTGTACGAAACGTATTTTTATATGAAAAGTATTTTTGTGGAAATCGTATTTCTGTAAAATAGTATTTTTTAAAAAAAGGATTTTTGTACAAAAGTTCATTTTGTACAAAAGGTATTTTTGTTCAAAAGTATTTTTGTAGGAAATTAAATTTTATTCTAAACGTATTTTTATATAAAAAGTATTTTTGTAGGAAACGAATTCGTGTACCGAACGTATTTCTAAACAAAAAGTATTTTTATAAAAGGTATTTTTGTAGGAAACGAATTCTTGTACGAAACGTATTTCCAAACAAAAAGTATTTTTGAATAAAAGGTATTTTTGTACGAAAAGTATTTTTTATACAAAAAGTATTTTTGTAGGAAACGTATTTTTGTAGGAATAGTATTTCTGTAAAAAAGTATTTTTTTATAAAATGTATTTTTGTACAAAAGGTCATTTTGTACAGAAGGTATTTTTGTACAAAATGTATTTTTGTAGGAAACGTATTTATATAAATGAATAAATAAATATTTAATAAACGTCTGGAACACATTATCTTATTACTATTTGTTAATTATTTATTTATTTACTTATTATTTATTTAATTTACAATTATTAAAGACATTGTCGATAATGTAGGTCGCTACAACAAGAAACTTTAAAAGAACAAAAATTTTAATTTGTAAGTAAACAAAAATTTCTTCATACTCCATTTTTTTGTTATTAAATTTGTTAAAATTACACTCTCCTTCTAAAAAAAAATTAATTAAAAATTTTCTATAATTCTTGCTCTGTAATTTCTATAAAATAAGTCAATGGCGACATCTGACAGTATTTTCTCGAACTCGAATATTGAATGGTAAAATAAAATTTTATCTTCTTTGTTTTCTTTTAAAATAAAAGAAAAATTGTTATTTATTGACGTTAAATATTTAATTAAAATCTAAAATTAGTGGAGAAAATTCAATGAAATTGTAATAATAAAAATTATTTTCTTCAGATATTTTTGTGGTTAAATTGTCGATTGACTTTTGTCTCGCCTGTCGTTTTTAAAGAGACAGCAAATAAAAAACATGGCAGCGTGGAGTAATATTCTTCGTTCTACTGGAGAAAAAGTCCTTCGAATTGGATCAATTTCCACTAAAAATGCCGTCCAAACGTGTAAGTCTTGTTTCTATTGTTATTTTTAATTAAAAATAAATTTTACAGTCACTCTTCAATTATAGGAAGTTTCTAAAAATTAAATTGAAAATTATATCTGTCGTTACGCAACTGTTTTACCAAAAAACTAATTTTCTATCAAAATAATAATTTTTTTGATATTTTTACAACATTTTAGAATTTTTACTTTGTAAACTAATTCCCCTCCCTTTCTCAAAAATAAATAGAATTTTGTTTCTTTTCTACTTTGCAATTTCTATGGTTTATTTACAATTTTAAGGTTATGTCAACTTTCAATATTTTTCTATGTATTTTTAAATCTAATTCATAATATAAAACAAAATTTCTGTAAATATTTCCTGAATTTTCAATTTTTGATTGAAAAAAAAATATTTTTTTTATTATTTAAAATATTATTATTTCTCATAACTGATGCTCTAAAAACAAAATTTATTTGATTCAAATAACCAATTACTTGACTATTATCAATTAAATATATACTGAAATCAAATAATTTTTATTTAAGTCAAAATATTCATATTTGATTCAAATAATGAAATTATAGGTTCAAATACCATTTAATTGACTCAAAAAAAATTATTTTAGTCAATTCAATAGTCAATTAATTTTTAAATTTAAATTAATTTAAAAATAATTAATTAATTTTTAAATAATTAACTAATTTTTAAATTTTAATTAATTTTAAAATAATTAACTAATTTTTAAATTTTAATTAATTTAAAAATAATTAACTAATTTGTAAATTAATTTAAAAATTTTAATTTAATTAAAAAAAAATTATTTTAGTCTATTCAATGGTCAATTAAATTTTTAACAATTTTTAATTAATTTTAAATTAATTAATTTTTTAATTTAAATTAATTTTAAAATAATTAACTAATTTTTAAATTACTTTTAATTAATTTTTTTTTAAATTTAAAATATAATTCAAATAATATTTTAATTAATATTTATTTGATAACAGAAAACTAATCGATTATTTGAATCAAAAACAAATTTTTTCCCAATGTGGATAAAATTTAAGATTGAAAAGAATTTTTTTTTTTTATTATAAAAATTGAGTTTAAAAAATTGAATTTAAAAATAATTATAAAAATTTCTTTAGAAAACGTTATTAGTTTTAAGAAAGAGAAATTCGAAATAATTGATATAATAAAATTATATTCTTTTTTCCAAGTACAAAAACGAGAAATGGGACATGGACCTAGAGTTTTTCGTATTGAACCAACACGATGGCAGTGGAACAAGTGCAAGGACATGCTTCATTTTTATACAGCTTTAGGAGTAATACCCTTGTCAATACTGACATTTGTTGTTTATGTTTTTGTTGGTCCAGCGCAATTAGCGGAAATTCCCGAAGGATATGTGCCAAAACATTGGGAATACTATAAGGTATAACTAATTTTCAAAAATCATCTATTTTAAAAATAAAAACCTCATCTATTTTTTGAAATTAAATTTTTAATTTAAAAACCGACCTAAAAACCAATTTTAACCAACCTTAAAAATTTTACATTTTTGATTTAAATGGAAATTAATTCAGATTTTACAATTTTTAACTATTATCAAATCAATAAAATTTTGAAATTTTAATTACTAAATTACTAAATTTGTAGTCAGCAACCTAAAATACTCGCTATTAACAATTTTTCAAGCAAATTTTATCGACTTTCTAAAAAAAATTCGTCCGCCATTTTGAATTTTTAAAAACTAATATCAAATTCATAATCAGCGAACCCTAAAACCCCCGGGCATTAATTTTCAAACGATTTAGCCCATTTTTAAAATTTGACCGCCATTTTGGATCCGCCATTTTGGATTTTTAGAAACTAATATCAAATTCACAATCAGCGAACCCGAAAACCCCCGAGTATTAATTTTCAAACGATTTAGCCAAATTTTAAAAATTCGTCCGCCATTTTGGATCCGCCATTTTGGATTTTTAGAAACTAATATCAAATTCACAATCAGCGAACCCGAAAACCCCCGAGTATTAATTTTCAAACGATTTAGCCAAATTTTAAAAATTCGTCCGCCATTTTGGATCCGCCATTTTGATTTCTTTGAAAAATAAGCACAAAATTATTAATTAAAGACCTCAATAACCCTAAAGTCACAAGTTTCTGTCGAATTTAGTCAATTTTTAAAAATTCGTCCGCCATATTGGATCCGCCATTTTGATTTCTTGAAAACCAACATCAAATTCGTAATCAGTGAACCCAAAAACCCCCGAGTAATAATTTTCAAGCGAATTATATCGACTTTTTTAAAAATTCGTCCGCCATATTGGATCGGCCATTTTGCATTTTTAAAAACTAATATCAAATTCACAATCAGCGACCCCAAAAACCCATGTGTAACAATTTTTTAACGAATTTAGACAATTCTTAAAATTTTGACCGCCATTTTGATTTTTTGAAAAATAAATCATAAAATTCTTAATCAACGACCTCGAGAACCCAAAAGAAACAAGTTTCATGCAAATTCAGTGGATTTTCAAAAACTTGTCCGCCATATTGGATCCGCCAATTTGAATTTTTGAAAACTAATGTCAGATTCGTAATTAGTGGCCCCAAAAAATTCCCGTGTGACAAATTTCAAGTGAATTTAATTAATTTTAAAAAATTCGTCCGCCATTTTGAATTTTTGAAAACCAATATCAAATTTGTAATCAGCGACCCCAAAAACCCCCGAGTAACAAATTTGAAGTGAATATAGTCAATTTCTTACAATTCGTCCGCCATATTGGATCCGCCATTTTGAATTTTTGAAAACCATCATCAAATTTGTAATCAGCGACCCCAAAAACCCCCGAGTAACAAATTTGAAGTGAATTTAGTTAATTTTTAAAAATTCGTCCGCCATTTTGGATCCGCCATTTTGAATTTTGGAAATCTGTTCAAAAAATCGTAATTAACGACCTAAAGAACTCCCGAGTATCAATTTTTGAAACGAATTTAGTCAATTTTTTTAATTTGTCCGACATTTTGATTTTTAGCACATTTTTTAAAAATTTGTCCGCCATTTTGATTCTTAGCAAATTTTCTAAAGATTCGTACGTCATTTTGTTTTTTAGAAAAAATTTTTAAAAGATTTGTCCGACAAATATTGGAATCGACATTTTGAATTTATGTATAAAAATTTTTAAAAAAATTTTCTTAATATAAAATTATTATAATTATAATTGTATTATAATTAATATATAAAATGTATAATTTTTATTTTTTTGTTTGTTTAATTTCACCACGCAGAATCCAATTACAAGATTTATTATGAAACATTTCAATGAATCACATCAAGAAGTTTACGAGAGAACAATGCACATGATGTATGAAGAAACAAGAAGGGGAGAAATCACAGGACTGCAAAATCGTATTAAAGAATTAATTAAACAACGTAAAGATTATCAAGAATATTACTATATTCCCTATAATGCTGAGAGAATCTACGAGAAGCGTGAATTAAATGAATTTATTGAAGAACCATTACACGAAATAGACGAAGAGGATAAGCAAAAAATGCGAGAGGGAAAATACGGTAAGAAATTTCATTCAAAAAAAAAAAAAAAATACTCCCCCCCCCCACCCCACCCCTCCACTTAATTATATTAAAAAAATAGCAAATGTGTTATATTTATTATCATTTATAATGGTAATAAATTGTTAATAATTTATCGAATTTTTCCCTATACTAGATTATTAAAGATATAATAATTAATGAAAATAATAAATAATAATAATTTATAATTTTTTATAAAAAGTGTATTTTTAAACAAAAATTATTTTTGTATATAACGTATTTTAATACAAAAACTATTTTTTGTATTAAACAAAAAAAATAAACAAGGTATTTATATACAAAAAGTAATTTTTGTAGGAAACGAATTCTTGAACAAAACGTATTTCTAAACGAAAAGTATTTTGAATAAATGGTACTTTTTTAAGAAAAGTATTTTTATAAAAAAAGTATTTTTGTGTGGAACGTATTTCTACGAAAAAGTACTTTTGATTAAAAATTATTATTGTAGAAAACGTATTTTTATCCAAAGAGTATTATTGAATAAAAGGTATTTTTCTAGGAGACGAATTTTTCAACGAAACGTAAATTTATACAGAAAGAATTCTTGCAGGAAAATGTTTTTTTTACAAAAAGTATTTGTTGTAGGAAACGTATTTTTATATGAAAAGTATTTTTGTGGGAATCGTATTTCTGTAAAATAGTATTTTTATAAAATGTATTTTTGTACAAAAGTTCATTTTGTACAAAAGGTATTTTTGTTCAAAAGTATTTTTGTAGGAAATAGAAATTTTATTCTAAACGTATTTTTATACAAAAAGTATTTTTGTAGGAAACGTATTTCTATACAAAAATGATTTTTTTTGTAGGAAAACGAATTAAAATATCTTCTATACAAAATTACTGTTTATACAAAAATACTTATTTCAAAATAATACGTTTCTTAAAAAATATTCTTGAAATAAAATACGTATCCTACAAAAATACATTTTGCATAAAATACTTTTTGTATGAAGTAAGTTTCCTATAAAAATACTTTTAGTACCAAAAGTGTATAAATACTTTTTGTATAAAAATACCTTTATTATAAAAATACTTTTTGTATAAAATACTTTTCCAACAAAAATACATTTTGCATAAAAAATACTTTTTATACAAAAATACTTTTTGTAAATATTTTTAAAATAATTTAAATAATTATTTTTAAAAGAATACTTTTATGCAAAAATACTTTTTCTGCAAAAAGTATTTTGCTCGGAAAAGTATTTTATACAAAAAGTATTTTTTGTTAAAACTTATTTTATGCAAGAAGTATTTTTGTTGGAAATGTATTTTAAACAAAAAGTATTTTTGTATAAAAAGTATTTGTTGGAAACGTATTTTTTGCAAAAAGTATTTTTGTTAGAAACTTATTTTATGCAAAAAGTTTTTTGGTTGGAAACGTATTTTAAACAAAAAGTATTTTTGTATAAAAAGTATTTATGTTGTAAACGTATTTTTTTGCAAAAAGTATTTTTATTGGAAACGTATTTTAAACAAAAAGTATTTTTGTTGGAAACGTATTTTATACAAAAAGTATTTTTATGCAAAAATTATTTATGTTGGAAACGTATTTTATACAAAAAGTATTTTTGTAATAAAAGTATTTTTATACAATAAGTATTTTTATACAAAAAGTATTTTTGTTAGATACGTATTTTTGTATAAAAGGTATTTTGATAAAAAAATTATTATTCCTGCTATTATTATTGTTATTATCATTATTATAATAAAAAAACTTTTCTTTACCATTTCATTTTCTGTTTATCATAATGAATATAGAAAATAATTATTCACACTTGAATAATGAAACAACTTTTTCTTATTTTTCAGGTCGAAAGACGAATTTGTAAGAAGAGAATTCGAGTGAAAGAAGAGAAATAAAGTCTAATTAATTAGTAGCGAAAATAATTGATGAATTTAATTAGTGAATACAATTTAATTGCTGACTTTATGGGAAATTTGAAGTAATTAATTATTGCTAATTTTATCACTTGGAGTAAATTAATTACTAAAGCATATACATTAATATTAGTAAATATCATTATTTTCCTAATTAATTAATTAGTAAAACAATCAAATATTAATTGACACAAATGGCTTATCAATTAGTAGTGATTGTTAATTTTACAATATAGTTTAAAGAAAAAAAATTAATAATTTTGAAAATTCAATTGTTTTTCTCAATTATTGTATAAAAAAAGGAGTAAATAAAATCTTGTAATATACATTGTGTAAATATTAAACAAACGATTTCACTTTTTATTTATTTTTGGTGGTAAATAATAATGTGTTTTTTATAATTATAAAAACTCAAAAAAAATGTAATTTTTTCCTTTACAAAAAATCATTATTTTTGTATTTAATGTAATTTTAAACAAAAAGTATTTTTCTAATTGAAATAATTTTAAACAAAAGGTATTTTTGATTCTAAAATATTTCAGAATCAAAGTGTTTTTGTATTTAAAAAAGTTTTAGAATTAAAGTATTTTTACCTTTTTCAAGGTAAGTATTTTTGTTATAAGTATTTTTATACAAAAAGTCTTTTATTAAAAGTATTTTTGTACGAACGTAATTTTAAAAAAAATGTATTTTTGCTTGAATGTATTTTTTTACCAAATTTATTTTTGTACGAAATGTATTTTTATACAAAAAGTATTTTTGTACGAAATGTATTTTTATACAAAAAGTATTTTTGTACGAAATGTATTTTTATACAAAAAGTATTTTTGTACGAAATGTATATATTTATAGAAAAAGTGTTTTTGTTTGAAATGTATTTTTTAAAAAAGAGTAATTTTGTACGAATGTATTTTTGTATCACTATTTTTAAAAACGAAATATAATTTTGTACAAAATTTTTGTTTATACACAAAGTATTTTGTACGAAACCTTTTTTTATAGAGAAAGTATTTTTGTACGAAATGTATTTTTATACAAAAAGTATTTTTGTACGAAATGTATTTTTATACAAAAAGTATTTTTGTACGACATATATTTTATACAAAAAGTATTTTTGCACGAAATATATTTTTATACAAAAAGTAATTTTCATAAAAAATACTCTTTTAACAAAAATACTACTTTCGAGAAATACTCTCAATAAAAATACACTTTTAGATAAATACTCTCTTACAAAAATACTCGTATTCAAAAATACTTAATTCAAAAAATTTTTTATTTTTATTACATGACGTTTTAACGTACGTGTGTGTGATACATATTTTTTGCAATGTCGTCGACCAAAAACAAAAAAAACGTCACAAAAAATTACGTCACGCTGATATGACATTTTTTCCGGGTCGTAAATTTTTGAATGGGTTAGATAATGATAACAAAAGTTCAGTTGCAAACACTAAGATTACGAAGATATATTGACCTGAATAAATTCAATAAAATCTTACACGAATTTTGTGCCAGAGATTATTGAGATAAAACTCGGGTCGATGCATGGAAATTTTTTTAATTGCAAAGATATTAAAAAACAAAACCAAGACATTTCACGTTCAACAAGTATTTTAAAAGGTAATTTTCAAAGAACAAAAAAATTTATTAAAATATTGCAAAAATTAATATTTTCCAGAGAATTTCTTTTAATTTAGTAATTTTGCGCAAAAAAATACTTTTACTGTTAGAGTATTTTTTGTACTACGACTTTTTTTAATAAAATATTTTCCAGCTCAAAGTACTTTCTATAAAAAAATTACTCTTCAAACAAAAAAAAGTATTTTTGTATGAAAGTGTTTTTGAATAGAAAGTATTTTTGTATAAAAAGTATTGTACAGAACGACATTTTTTATAGAAAAAATTTTTGTATAAAAAGTATTGTACAAAAAGAAATTTTTCATAGAAAGTATTTTTGTACGGGAATTATTTTTAAATAAAAATTAGTATTGTATCTAAAGTATTTTGTACAAAGAATATTAATGTATAAAAAGTGTTTTTGTATAGAAAGTATTTTTTATAGAAAGGTATTTTAAACAGAAAGTATTTTCTTTAGAAATGTATTTAATATAGAAAGGTATTTTATATATAAAGTATTTTTTATAGAAAGGTATTTTATATAGAAATGTATTTAATAAAGAAAGTATTTTTATAGAAAGGTACTTTATATAGAAAGTATTTTTGTGTGGGAATTATTTTTAAATAGAAAGGTATTTTTGTATAAAAATTAGTATTGTATAGAAGGTATTTGGGGCGCATGATTATTCCCCAAATGTCATTTTTCCGAAATGTCATTTTACCGAACTGCACTTTTGCGAATTGTCATTTTTGCGAAAGCCATTTTTGCGAAATGTCATTTTTACGAATAGTCATTTTTGCGAAAAGCCATTTTTGCGAATAGTAATTTTTGCGAAAAGTCATTTTTACGAATTTTCATTTTTGCGAATTGTCATTTTTGCGAATCGCCATTTTTACGAATTGTCACTTTTGCGAATCGCCATTTTTACGAATCGCCATTTTTACGAATTGTCACTTTTGCGAATCGACATTTTTACGAAATGTCATTTTTGCGAATAGCCATTTTTGCGAATCGCCATTTTTACGAATTGTCACTTTTGCGAATCGACATTTTTGCGAAAAGCTATTTTTGCGAATTGTCATTTTTGCGAAATTTCATTTTTCAGAAAAGTCATTTATGCGAATTGTCACTTTTGCGAATCGCCATTTTTACGAATTGTCACTTTTCCGAAAAGTCATTTTTGCGAATTGACATTTTTGCGAAAAATACAATAGTGAATCTATATATACTACAAGTTTACTATTGTATTTTTCGCAAAAATGACAATTCGCAAAAATGACTTTTCGGAAAAGTGACAATTCGTAAAAATGGCGATTCGCAAAAGTGACAATTCGCATAAATGACATTTCTCAAAAATGAAATTTCGCAAAAATGACAATTCGCAAAAATAGCTTTTCGCAAAAATGACAATTCGCAAAAACGACAATTCGTAAAAATTACTTTTCGCAAAAATGGCTATTCTCAAAAATGACATTTCGTAAAAATGTCGATTCGCAAAAGTGACAATTCGTAAAAATGGCGATTCGTAAAAATGTTGATTCGCAAAAGTGACAATTCGTAAAAATGGCGATTCGCAAAAATGACAATTCGCAAAAATGAAAATTCGTAAAAATGACTTTTCGCAAAAAATACTATTCGCAAAAATGGCTTTTCGCAAAAATGACTATTCGTGAAAATGACATTTCGCAAAAATGGCTTTTCGCAAAAATGACTATTCGCAAAAGTGCAGTTCGGTAAAATGACATTTCGGAAAAATGACATTTGGGGAATAATCATGCGTCCCAAGGTATTTTTGTAAAGAAGATATTCGTGTATATAAAAATACTTTGTATAAAAAGTAGTTTTGTATAGAAAAGTATTTTTGTACAAAAAATATTTTCATAAGAAATAAAATATTAAATAAAATATTTTTGTATAGAAAGTATTTTTCAAAAAAAAATTGTTTTGGAATAGAAAGTATTTTTGTTAAAATTATTTTTAAATAAAGTATTTTTGAATAAAAATTTGTATTGTATCAAAAGTATTTTTGTACAAAAAATATTTATGTATAAAAAGTTTTTTCTATAGAAAGTATTTTTGTAGAAAAGTATTTTTTACAAAAAGGTATTTTTTGTATAGAAAGTATTTTTGCATGGGAATTAATTTTAAAAAAGGTATTTTTGTATAAAAAAATTAGTATTTTATAGAAAGTATTTTTGTAAAGAAGATATTCGTGTATATAAAAATACTTTGTATAAAAAGTAGTTTTGTATAAAAAAGTATTTTTGTACAAAAAATATTTTCATAAGAAATAAAATATTAAATAAAATATTTTTGTATAGAAAGTATTTTTCAAAAAAAATTGTTTTGGAATAGAAAGTATTTTTGTTGAAATTATTTTTAAATAAAGTATTTTTGAATAAAAATTTGTATTGTATCAAAAGTATTTTTGTACAAAAAATATTTATGTATAAAAAGTTTTTTCTATAGAAAGTATTTTTGTAGAAAAGTATTTTTTACAAAAAGGTATTTTTTGTATAGAAAGTATTTTGCATGGGAATTAATTTTAAAAAAGGTATTTTTGTATAAAAAAATTAGTATTTTATAGCAAGTATTTTTGTATAGAAAGGTATTTTTTACAAAAAAGGTATTGTACAAAAAATTTAAAAATATTTTTTTATGTAGGAAATTACTAAAATTGTACAAAAGAAATTTAAAAAAAAAGACTTTCATGAAAAAAATCAAAAGTCTAGAAAACAAAATATATTATGTCCAAAACACTTTAATGTAAAAAATACTTTTCCTATTTAATAATTTACTAATTTTTCAACTCAAATAAAAAAAAAATTTTCTAGAAAAATCTCGATCGTTTTTTCTTTTTTACATTATTAATACAAGTGGATGTTATATACATTATAGTCAAAGTATCAAATTAAATTTTCTTGCGCAACTGAAAATTGATATCTTTATTTAATACGAAATCGGAAATTTTTAAACTTCTTTTAACACCGTCTCAATTATTATTGTTGCATAATCAACAACGCCTTCTATTATAAATAATCTCTCTTTCATTTTTTTTTCTTTTTGTATTTGCGTTTCTTAATTAAAATCATTAATAGCAGAAAATTTTTTCGCCAACTTTTAAATAAGTTTTATTTTTTCCATTGTGTGAAATTAAAAAATCATTAAAAGCATCCTGAATTTTATTTTAATTAGCCCCTACGTGAGTGTTGTAAATCACAACTAAACAAAATTATGCTTATCTCACGTGAATAAAATTATTGCACGAAATGATGAAAAAAAGTTTTTTTTTCTATTGCACTTTTTATTGACTAAATTAGAAAATTAATATTTCCTTTTAGTTATTTTAATTCAATTTGGCATCAATTTAGTTAAAAAAATTTTTTTTGGGCGAAAATATTTAGTAAAAGAGTATTTTTGTATAAAATTACTAGTAGACTGTGGTATTTTTGTAATCAAAATATTTTTTTACTGAAGAAATTTTGCACCAAAAGTATTTTTGTACAAATGGTATTTTTGCACTAAAAGTATTTTTATGCCAATGGTATTTTTACACCAAAAGTATTTTTATACCAATGCTATGTTTGTGCCAAAAGTATTGTTGTACCAGAATATTTTTGTACGAATGTTATTCTTATATAGCAAAAGTATTTTAATATTAAAATGCTAAAGAACTCTGTAAGTATTAAAAGTTGAAAGTATTTTTGTAATAAAAGTATTTCA